TCTGATTTTTTTCTCCGCCTCTTTGTCATCTGAATAAAGTAGGGCTACTGATTTTTTTTTAGTTTATCTTGTATCCTGCTAGTTTGCTGAAGGTGTTTATCAGCTGTAGGAGTTCCCTGGTAGAGTTTATTGGGTCGCTTATGTAAACTATCAAATAGAGACAGTTTGACTTCTTCCTTTCCTCCTTGATCTCCTTTTGTTGTCTTATAGCTTTAGCTAGAACTACTAGTATGATATTGAAGAGATATGGAGAGAGAGGGCAGCCTTGTCTTGTTCCTGATTTTAGAGGAATTGCCTTAAGCTTCTCTCCACTCAGTTTGATGTTGGCAGTTGGTTTGCAGTATATTGCTGTTACTATGTTTAGGTATGTTCCTGTTATTCCTGACCTCTCCAAGACCTCATGAAAGGGCGTTGAATTTTGTTGAAGGCTTTTTCAGCATCTAGGGAGATGATCATATGGTTTTTCTTTTTCAGTTTGTTTATATGGTGGATCACGTTGATAGATTTTCATATGTTAAACCATCCCTGCAATCCAGGGATGAAGCCTACTTGGTCATGGTAGATGATTTCTCTGATGTATTCTTGAATTCAGTTTGCCAGTATTTTATTGAGTATTTTTGCATCGATGTTCATCAGGGATATTGGTCTGTAGTTTTGTCTTTGTGAGGCTTGGGTACCAAGGTTATTGTGGCCTCGTAAAAAGAGTTTTGCAATGAACCTTCTGTTTCTATTTTGTGGAACAATTTGAGGAGTATTGGTATTAGTTCTTCCTTGAATGTCTGGTAGAATTCTGCATTAAAGCCATCTGGCCCTGGGCTTTTTTTGTTTGGAAGGCTTTCGATGACTGCTTCTATTTTATTGCATGTTATAGGTGTATTTAAGTTGTATGTCTGTTCTTTTAATTTTGGTAAGTGATAGTTATCCAGAAATTTGTCTATTTCCTTTGAATTTTCAAATTTTGTGGAATACAGGTTTTCAAAGTATGACCTGAAAATTGTCTGGATTTCCTCTGTGTCCGTTGTTATGTTCCCCTTTTCGTTTTTGATTTTGTTAATTTGCATGTTCTCTCTCTGCTTTTTCGTTAGTTTGGATAAAGGTTTGCCTATTTTGTTGATTATCTCAAAAACCCAACTCTTTGTTGCATTGATTTTTTTTTTTTTTTTTTTTTTTTTTTTTTGGTATTGTTTTCCTGGTTTCTATTTTGTTGATTTCAGCCCTCAAGTTGATTATTTCCTGGCATCTACTCCTCCGGGGTGAGTTTGCTTCTTTTTGTTCTAAGGCTGTCAGTTGTGCTGTTAATTCTCTTATGTGACTATCCTCTGTTTTTCTTCATATGGGCACTTAGTGCAATGAACTTCCCTCGTAGCACTGCTTTCAAGGTGTCCCATAAGTTCGGGTATGTTGTGTTCTCATTCTCGTTGAATATTAGAAAGTCCTTAATTTCTTTATTTCTTCTTTGACTATGGTGTGGTGCAATTTCACACTGTTCAGTTTCCATGAGTTTGCAGGTTTTCTGCGATTTGTTTTGTTGAATTCCAATTTTAAAACATGGTGGTCTGATATGATACTGGAGACTATTCCAATTATCTTGTATCTGTTGAGGTTTGTTATGCCACCTAGTATGTGGTCGATATTAGGGAAGGTTCCATGTGGAGCAGAGAAGAAGGTATATTCTTTTGTGTTTGGATGGAATGTTCTATAGATGTCTGTTAAACCCAGTTGAGACATAACTTGTTAGTTCTTTTGTTTCTTTGTTGAGTTTCTGATTGGTGGTTCTGTCTAGTGTTGAGAGTGGTGTGTTGAAGTCTCCCACTATAAGTGTGTGAGGTTTTATGTGAGCTTTGAGTTTTAGTAGCGTTTCTTTTATGAATGTGGGTGCCTTTGTATTTGGGGCATAGATGTTCAGAACTGAGACTTTGTGTTGATGGATTTCTCCTGTGATGAATATGAAATGACCGTCTTCATCTCTTGATTAATTTTGGTTTGAAGTCTAACTTGTTAGATATTAGCATAGCCATACCTGCTTGCTTCTTGGTTCTATTTGATTGGAATAAATTTTCCCAACCCTTTACCCTGAGGTAATGTCTATCTTTGAAGCTTAGATGTGTGTCTTGTATGTAGCAGAAGGATGGATTCTGTCTTCGTATCCATTCTGTTAGCCTGAGTCTTTTTATAGGTGAGTTAAGACCATTAATGTTGAGGGTGAGTAAGGACCATTGATTGTTAATGCTTGTTTGTTTTAGGTTTGTTGTTGGCAGTGGTATTATGAATATATTTGTCTTGCTTTACTCTTGGTTTCTGGTGTAGTTAGATTATCTGTTGCTTTGTCTTTGTGGGCGTAGTTAACTTCCTTGGGTTGGAGTTTTCCTTCCAATACTTTCTGTAGGCCTGGATTTGTAGATACGTATTGGGAAAATCTGGTTTTGTCATTAAATATCTTGTTTTCTCCATCTATAGTGATTGAGAGTTTTGCTGGGTTGCATCCGTGTTCTCTTAGTACTTGTAGAACATCTATCCAGGACCTTCTGGCCTTGAGGGTTCTGGCCTTGAGAAGTCAGGTGTAATTTTGATAGGTCTGCCTTTATATGTTACCTGTCCTTTTTCCTTTGCTGCTCTTAATATTCTTTCTTTATTCTGTATGCTAGGTGTTTTGATTATTATATGTCGAGGGGTCTTTTTCTTTGGTCCAGCCTATTTGGTGTTCTGTATGTTTCTTGTACTTTCATGGGCATGTCCTTCTTCAGATTGGGAGTTTTCCTCGATGATTTTGTTGAATATGTTTTCGGCACCTTTGAGCCGGGCTTCCTCACCTTCGTCTATGCCTATTATTCTTAGGTTTTGCCTTTTCACAGTGTCCCACATTTTCTGGATGTTTTGTATTTACGATTTGTTGGATTTATGATTTTCTTTGGTCGATGAATCTATTTCTTCTAGTTTATCTTCCGTGCCTGAGATTCTCTCTTCCATCTCTTGAATTCTATTGGTTATGCTTGCATCTGTAGTTCCCGATTTTTTTGCCCAGTTTTTCTATTTCCAGCATTCCTTCGGTTTGTGTTGCCTTTATTTTCTCTATTTCAGTTTTCAAGTCTTGAACCGTTTCCTTCACCTGCTTAATTGTTTTTTCTTGGCTTTCTGTACTTTCTTTACTTTCCTCAAGAAATTTTTTATGTCTTCAACTTTTTTGTTTTTTCTTCCATTTCTTTAAGGGATTTTCTCACATCTTCTTTGAGGGCCTCTATCATTTTTATGATGATAACTTTTAAGTCATTCCCTTCTGCTTCCTCTGCTTTGTTGTTGTGTTCCGGTCTAGTTGGTGTAGATTCCCTAGATTCTGGTGGTGTCATGGTTGTCTTTCTGTTGTGAGGTTTTTTCTTGTATTGCCATCTTTCCATAGCTTCTTCCAGTAGGTGTTGGTGGGGGGTCTCTCCCTCTCTCTATGGTAGTTCCCCGGTGGTCTTATGTGGGTCAGAGGTTGATATCTGTACCTCTGGGTGGTCCAAACTCTCTAGGAGGTCTCTCCACAGGCAGGGGTCCGGGGATGGGGGTCAGCGATCAGGCTCCAGTAGAAGACTGGCGATGGGGGGGGGTCAAAGATAATGCAGGCCAGGACTCTGGATGTTCCTTGTGCCTATAGGCAGATCTATCCTGGGCCTGGCACTCTCCAGCTGAGGCTTCTTTAGCAGAGGCCCTGTGATGGGGGTCAAGGATCCTGCCAGCAGGATCTCAGCTGGAACTCAGAGTGGTCCCTCAGAGATAGGCGGATCTCTGGGAGGGGCCCCGGACTGGCGCTGGGGGTCAGAGAGGGTCTCCTGTGTTCAGAGCTGCTCCCAGAAGTCCCCTGAAGTTGTATGTACTGTTGGCTCCACCCTCTGTCCCGGTGCTCAACCAGAGCAGTGGGACAGTGGGCTGGGTAGGGCTCAGGGTAGGGGGAGGGCAGGCTCATGGTGGAGGTGGGTGGGGGTGTATCAGAGCTCCAAGAGTGCTCTCGATGGGGACAGGACACAGGAGCAGGGGGATCCAGGGCCAACCCAGGGAGTTCCCGGGGGAGGGTGTAAGGGGCCCGGATTGGGCCCAGACTCACCTCTTGCCAAGGACTGGTGGTAGAGGACAAAAATGTAGATTTTGTTTTTAAAAAAGTATTTTGTGTGTGTGTGTACATGTACATATATACATATGTATGTATATATGTATAAGTGTGTATGCTCTGAGTGTGTATATATGTGTGTGTATATGTGTATATATATGTGTCTCTCTCTATATGTGTGTGTGTGTGTGTATTTATATATGTGTGTGTGTCTGTGTGGTTATGTGTGTGTATATGTATGTGTATGTCTGTTTTGTGTGTGTATATGTGTGTATCTATATACATGTGTGTTTATGTATGTGTGTGTGTATCTATATACGTGTGTGTGTGTGTGTGTGTGTGTGTGTGTGTGTGTGTGTGTGTGAAAGCAGCAGGTGTGGAATCAGGAGAACACATGGAGTCAGTTTTCTCCTTCCATTTGTGCACTGGGGATTGAGCTCAGGTTGTCAGGCTTGGCAGCAAGCACCTTTATCCTCTTAGCCTTCTTACTGGATTCTTTTTATTTTCAGTGGAATTGAATACAAATTATAATGGGGCTGATAGAACTAAAATGCACCTTCCTAATTCAGGTTTTGAAACTGCTATGAATAGTGAAAAAGTACAACAGTTGATGATTTCAGCCAACAAAAATTGTTAAAACTGTATCTGAAAGCCAGCATGGTGGCGTCTGCCTTTAATGTAATCAAGAGTGAGATGCCTGGTCTACAGAGTGATTTCCAGGATAGCCATAGCTAAACAGAGAAACCCTATTTAGAAAAACCAACCAACCAACCAACCAACCAACCAACCAACCAACCAACCAACCAACCAACCCATGTCTTGAAGACTAGTTATTGTAGTGAAGCTTTAAGTGCAATCCCCACTTCATCTAGTACCATGTGAGATGGTGCCTTAAACAATTTTAATTCTGTTTTAGACTGATAGAGACTGATAGCAAGTCTTTAAGATCTGTAAATGGGTCAAGAAGAAACAGTGGCTCCTCTCTTGTGTCAAGTTCCTCAGCCTCCAGCAACCTCAGTCACCTGGAAGAAGACTCTTGGATTCTTTGGGGAAGAATTGTAAATGAATGGGATGATGTGCGCAAGAAGAAAGAAAAGCAAGTGAAGGTATTTGTACTGTTTGCCACGTTCTTTTTGTCAACCCCAGAGTATCAGGCATGGATTAGTAGAGCGTTAGGAAAACACAGGATTCTTGTAATTTCTGAGTTATGTTATGAACAGGTTGGCTTTTTATGTCTTCATCATCTATGCCTGATTGAAGTTTTAGTTTGTGGGTTGTCCTGAAAACTTAGAAATTCTCAGTTAAAAATTATTTTTAGAAATTAAACTCCCATTTTGTTAATGAAATCTTGACATTCTGTATTAGTATTTTGCCTTTTCCCTTTAGCAGTCCTTTGAATATTGTGGGTATAGTGATGTGGTATGTCAGGCCTTTAAGACCTTAAAGGCCACATTCTCAGTGAAATGACAGTTTATCCAGGGCCATCTCTTAGACTTCTTTAAAGCCTTCCTTCTTTCCTTCCTTCCTTCCTTCCTCCCTCCCTCCCTTCCTTCCTTCCTTCTTTTTTTTTGTCATGGAAAAAATGTTTATTTTGAAATTATTTTAATTTAGAAATAGAAAACCTCTTAGGGAAAGGAAGGGAAAAAAAAAAAAAAAAACCAAAACCAAAAACAAAACCCACAAAGTATCCAAGCTACTTTTTACTTCATGAGCTTCTCACATCCTCATTTGCTCACTAGTTCCCATGAAGAGAGAGCAATCAGCCACCCACAGTTATGTTATTAATAGGAATATGAATCAATTTCATAAAGAAGCCAATGAATCCCATGATAGCAAATCCTATGGCTGTGGCCATGGCAGTCTTCTGGAATTCTTCTCTATTGAGTTTGGTGCATCTTTTAACCAGTGGAATTAAGTCCTTAACGAACTGCGGACTTGGCTCAACAAACTGCATTACCTGGTCCATGATTGGCTTTTGAGGGATGTCGGTTTGAGAAGATAAGAGACATGTGGCGGCTTAGAACTTTCTTTCTTCCTTTCTTTCTTTCTTTCTTTCTTTCTTTCTTTCTTTCTTTCTTTCTTTTTTTTAAGATTTATTTATTTATAGTTTGAGGATAGCCTGGTCTACAAAGTGAGTTTCAGGACAGCCAGGGCTGTAACAACACAGAGAAACCCTGTCTTGAAACAAACAAACAAACAAACAAACAAAATGTTTATTTATTATGTAATTCATTGTTCTGCCTGTAGGCCAGAAGAGGCCTGTTGTTGTGAGCTGCCATGTAGGTGTTGGGAATTAAACTCAGGTCCTCTGGAAGAACAGCCAGTGCTCTTAACCGCTAAGCCATCTCTCCAGCTACTTCTTTAAAGAATTTCACAGTTTATTAATAAACAAGCTTTATAAATTATAAATTTGATACATTTTTCCATTTTTTTAAACACTCCCCTCCCCAGAATGCTTGGATAGTAAGGTATGCAACATTTGAAAGTTTTGTTCTCCTTTTACTTTTAGGGAGCTGGTTCGTAAAGGGATACCCCACCACTTCAGAGCAATAGTTTGGCAACTTTTATGTGATGCACAGAGTATGCCAATTAAGGACCAGTATTCAGAACTTCTGAAGATGACTTCACCTTGTGAAAAATTGATTCGAAGAGACATTGCTAGAACTTACCCAGAACACAATTTTTTTAAGGAAAAAGATAGTCTTGGACAGGAGGTCTTATTTAATGTAATGAAGGTAAGCTCATTCATTTTTTTGAAGTGAAATTAATTTGTCAGAGGTTGAAATCACATGATTCCATAGTGAAGTATAAATTCCCGTCATAATAATCAGGTTCATGGTTCTCATGCTTCATTGTCAGTAGTTTGGAGAACTAATTAGAAAATTCATCACATTATTTAGCATTACTTGACAATAATCTACTCTCAGTGACCACTGCAGGGTTCTTTATGAGAGTGGATCATTCATTCTATAGCAGCTTCATGATCTTTGGTAATGCCCCCATTTGTTAAGTGTGCTCAGCCCTTTAACATTTATTGTTGCATTTTTAATATTGCGTTTTCATAGTTTCTTTTTCTCCCATCTACCTCTGCAAGATACCAATTTCTAAAGTTATTTGAATTTTGTTGTTTATCCTACCTGCACTATGTTTGTCTCTATCAGTTACCTGTCAGTAAATTTTCTTTGTCCTTAGGAGCTGCCACTTTGTTCTTGGAAAATTGTCAAGTTTTATGTAATAAACCTTTTGCTTTTTAAACATTTATAGAATAACATCTACAACAAGTAAGCAAGAGCTTTTCTAAACAAATAAATGGACTTTTAACTGTCTCACCAATTTTAGGTTTTGGAGAAGGAAGGTACAATGTACATATTGAAGTATTTTGAACACCATGGTTTACTTTTTAGGCATACTCCTTGGTGGATCGTGAGGTTGGTTACTGTCAAGGCAGTGCATTTATAGTTGGATTGTTGCTTATGCAGGTGAGTTAATGCATGTAAGTAGTAACTGTCTATGCTTCTTAAACTCAGTTAGAGAATTGAAAAAATCTTTGGTTTCTTCAAGTTAAGCAGATTTGTATTCTCTCCCTAAACATAATGTACATAGTAATTTACTTTTGCACTTTGAAAGTAAAATGACATGGTAATACTGTCTTGCCACCAAATGAAATTTTAGCTCTTGTAACCCTCCTTCATTCTCCCTGTGTTCGTCTCCTTCCTTCTGTTTTGGAGATTATATGCTATATCTCTGAGCTGCAGGCCCAGCTCCCTAACTTGAAAAAAAGAGTTACAAATACTTTTTACATAGACTGTGTGTGGCCATGTGCATGTAGGTCAGTCACAGCTTGTAGGAGTTGATTCTCATTTACCATATGGACTCCAGGAATGAAATTCTGGCCATTGGTCTTGGCAAGTACCTTTACCTGCTGCGCCATCTTGCCAGCTCCCCCAACTTCTACCTCTTATGTTTTTGAAGATTGTATTTTTATTTTTAATTATGTGTGTGTGTGTGTGGGGGGTTGTGCACATGACTGTAGTGCCTGTAGAGGCTGGAAGTGGGTATTGATCTTCCTGGAGCTGGAGTTACATGCAATCGTGAGTTGCTGGAGACCAAACTAGTATGGGATCTTAACAACTGCTGAACCATCTTTCCAACCTCATCTTTAATTTTTAATATATACAGTTGTACCAAGATATTCTATAAAAACTTTTTACCTGTTTTTAAATTTCATTTGTTAGCATTTAACGGGGAGTAATCTTTTCCCAACCAAGTATGGTAAGAATAAAGTTTTCATATAATATCTTATTTATGTTATGTGCATGTTTGGAGGTGTGTGTGTGTGTGTGTGTGTGTGTATTATCATTTAGCTACAGGCTTGTTATACTAAAGTTATATTACTCAGCTACCTTTACTGTCTAGTGATACGACATTAGCATTGACTGATTTCTCACAATTTAGGGGCAGGACAAACTGAAGTTGGAAAGGGTAATGGGATATGGGATATACAACCATTTCTTTAGCCTTGCTGAAAATTTCCTTATTCTATTTTACTTTTTATATAGTCTCAGAATTTTAGTCCTGAAAAATGGTTTGATTTGAGTTGTGCTGGCTGTAGTTTTTCATCTCAGTTCTACACTCAGCCTGTGCGCTTTTATTGCTAGCTTTATGCAGGTGTAAGCCTGGAATGGTGTTTGGCGAGTGTGAGGCCATACAGTAAAACTAGAGTGGCTTTTGTCCATTCTGAGTAGACGAAAGCAGAGCAGCATCAAACTCTGTTCCCTGGCATTTTTCTTCAGTTTCCTCACTATCTGACTTTTAAAGCCCTGTGTCAGGGATTCCCCTTTTACCCCATCCTCCTCATTTTTGTCTTTCACTCAGTGCCAGGGATGAGCCCAGGGTCTCATGCATGCTGAGCACCCGGCCTCCTCTCATTTTAGCCCTGGCTTCCATTCCTCCTTTCAGAGCATACTGGTCCATAAACTGACTGACTACCACTCACCGTGCTTGGAGTGGTTATTGCGGGTGGTTTTCCATGTTAGATAAGTTTGGGCTGTGATGTATGTAGAGCGTCCACAAAGTTCTGATCATTCTGATTTATAAATGGTTGTCACTAGCAGATCTTTTTACTGTTAAGTCAGATATAATAATCAATCTAGTGATTTTTGCTGCAAATCTGTTTCTTTTCTTTCATATTAACTTCAAAATAACAGTATTCATTTTTGCTAAGAATCTAGACTCTAGGTTCTAGAGAACAGCCTCCCCCCCAACAGCTCTTGCAGAGCTTGTACAGCTGCTATACCCAAGTCTCCTGCGAAGCAACTGCACCACCAAAGTCATCTTTTGCTCCCATTGTACTACACAACCTCAGTATAAGTGGCCTCGAGCCTGCTGAGTTTCTTGTTTCATGAGACTCCTGCTTCTCTACAAGAGGATATTTTAGTCCTGGAGAAATAGCCACACAAGAAGTAGAAAACAGGTTTCAGCCTTTGGCATGGTTGTAGAGCCTGAGATAGTAACTGTCTGCCAGGCTCACTGGAGAAAAGGGAGTCAAAAGCTAGAAAGTTATCTCAATGAAAGTGACCCAGAAGTTTGTGGAAGCTTCATTGAAGTTTGTGGAGGAGCAGATGGGTAGCATTGGTTGGTGGGGTTTTAAGGTAGCAAGGTTCATTCTGTGAGTGACCCTGAAGTGATGCTTTGCTCAGTCCTGCTCCTTGAAGTGGTGAGATGGAAAACAGTTACCCTAAGGTATAGTGTAGTTCAGCTTAAAGAATGAGATTGAGCATAGAATGGGGAGTTTGGAAGTAGAGGCAGAGGAGGGGATTAAGAGAACTGTATAGGATGGAGAATTCTGAGGTCTTGGGCTTCTTACAGTGACTGAGAAGTCAGTGGGATTTTAGGTCTTGAGTTAATAGATTGGTCTCCACAGTACACCTGTGGCTGTGTTAGCACAGAGAAAGAACATGCACGTTTACCTGCTGTCCATGGCCATGTTGAGCATGGGGAAAATGTATTTTGTCATTTTCCAACTGTTTTCAATAAGAGATACTGAGAGATCTTTTTTGAAATGCATTCACAGACTAAATGAAGATTAGAAAACTATTATTTTTGGGAAAGTTATCTAGCCATGTAGGTGCTATTGCCTAAATATTTTGAATGCCTTTTAAATTATTTTCTCACTGGATATTTTCTAGTGATTTATACTTTTAAAACCCAATTACAGATAATTTTAAAAGGTAGAAGTTCTTTTGGTATTTACATCGTGTACCATTTCTGTTCAGAATTGCCAGAGCTTTGTAGCTACTTTAAGGTAAAAGTAAAAAAAATAATAGAATGGCTTCCAAAACTTATGTGTTTGGTTTAATTTTTTTCTTCTTTATAACTCCTTTACTCATGACCCTTTAAAAAGGGATACATTTAATCTGATTAATTTTTTATTATTTGCCATTGATGTTTAATAAGGATCAGGAGAAACAAATAGGCTGAATAGATGTTTATTCAGGGAGAAATAACTCACAACATAGACAGATGAACACCAGCAGGTTCCTGGTCCCAAGGATGCCTCCAGATGTACTCCTGTCTTGCAAGCAAGAGAGCTTTGGGAGCCCCTCCTCAGCCTTAGTTCCCCCAGGTCACGTCAGGCCCTGTCTCCACCTCCAATGGGCATGGTCTATGCCACAGGTGCGGACAAGGTGAATATCTCACTACAATCTGCTAATTATTTCTTGTGTAGGTTTTACTTTATTCATGGGGATAACTTGACTTGTATCTTAGTGGTCTCCTGCTTGCTGACCAAGCATGCCAGCATCTTAAGGTCTGTCTTAGTTACTTTTCTATTGTTGTGAAGAGGCACCATGACCAATGTGGCTTATAGAGAAAGCATTTAAATGAGGGCTTGCAGTTTCAGAGAGTGAGTCCATAACTATCATGGTGGGGAGTGTGCCAACAGGCAGGCAGATAGGCATGGTTCTGGAGCAGTAGCTGAGAGCTTATTCTGATTCACAAGTGGGGATGAGGGTGAAGAGGGAGGAGGAGGAAGGGGGGGGAGAGATGGAGTGGATGAAATTGGACAGGGGGAGGAAAAAGAGACAGAGATAGAGACAGAAACACACACACACACACACACACACACAGAGAGAGAGAGAGAGAGAGAGAGAGAGAGAGAGAGAGAGAGAGAGAGAGAGAGAGACAGACAGACAGACAGACAGACAGACTGGATCTGGTGTGAGCTTTTGAATCCTAAAAGCCCATCATCAGTGAATTCATCCAACAAAGCTGTACCTCCTCCCAGCAGGCCCACATCTCCAAGTCCTTTACAGATAGTCTGCTAACTGGGACCAAGCATTCAAATCTGTGACCCTATGGGGGCTGTTCTCATTAGACACCACAGGGATCTTGTTCCATTTTAGGGCCTTTGTACACTCTGTCTTCCAGGATTGTTTTTTCCTCAGTGTTCCCTAATTTCATTCTCTTGTTTGTTTAAAATTTACTTCATTGAAGTTCCATTCCTGACTTATATAAATAGCAGTTTGTCTCCCCAGAGTTCCCTTATTCTAATTGATTCCTTAGCATTCATCACCACTGATGTAAATATGATTTGTCTGTATATTACCTATTTATCTCTAGAAAGTTTAAGTTCCTTGAGAGTAAAGTTTATATGTTTTTTGTTGCTGTTGTTTTTGTATTTAGAAAGAGAACAGTATCTAGCTGTAAATGTTGGTTAGATGATACAGGTTCAATTCAGGGGGGTATGGTCACATATATGTGGTCACATATATGGTCACATATATGGTCATATATATGTGTATATGTATATGTATACACACACATATATGTTGATTAAGTTAATAAATCAGACAGATTGAGGCAGTTGGTCTCAGAGTTTGCAAGAGTCATTGTCTGATTCTCAGAATGGAAGTCTAGAACATCCTGGTTCTAATTCCAGTGCACTTTATACATTACTCTGTAGCCAGTGAAAACACTATTCATAGGGCTGACAGGTTCAGTGTCCAGAATCCATGTACAAGAGCTAAGTGTGCTGGTGTGTGTGTGTGCAATCCCAACGCTAGTCAGAGCCCATGGCTCTGAGAGACCCTGTCTCAAGAAAATAGGATGTATGGAGCTCAAGAAATAGCACCGGGGTTGATCTCTGGCCTCTATGAATACTTGTACACACAAACACATAAACATTAAAGAAAAAAGAAAAACAGTATTTGTTATTGAGTGGTACTTGTTCATAGTATGATTTGGCTTATTTGTGTATCATGAAATGCTGAACTGTGTTACTATTTTCTTCTTCTTAAAACAGATGCCAGAAGAGGAGGCTTTTTGTGTCTTTGTTAAATTAATGCAAGACTACAGACTTCGGGAACTCTTTAAACCAAGCATGGCAGAATTGGGCCTTTGCATGTACCAGTTTGAATGCATGATACAGGTAAAAGTTCACTTTAACTTTTCTGCCCCCCTTTCTGAATGTCAGCAAATTTTGTGTCAGAATCCTAGAAGTTCGGTGGTTAAAAGCACCTTTGCTGCTCTTGTAGAGAACCTAGGTCAGTTCCCAGCACCTACGTGGTGGCTTACAAACATTTGTAACTCCTAGGGGATACGGTGGCTTCTTCTGATCTGTATGGGCACCAGGCACACACAGTGCACATAGATACTTGCAGGCAAAAAACTTAAACACATAAAATAAAAGGCATAGCAGCAGTTGAAAAAGTAGTGTTTTAAATCCATGATGACTTGTTCGTCATAGTCTGGACTTTGTTATCCAAATATTAAACATTGGCCTCACATGTGCTGTAACTTAGGTGCTGCTGCTTCCATCCACTTTTTGCTGTTCCTATTAAAAGCTCAGAGCTTGTGTAGGAAGCCAGTTCACTTACTGTTGAGACTGTCATACCCTTCCTTCCTTCCTTCCTTCCTTCCTTCCTTCCTTCCTTCCTTCCTTCCTTCCTTTCTCTTTTTATCTTGTTCCCACCCCCATCTGATAATTTTTTTTTTTTTTTAACATGTATCCATAAATTTTATGTGACCAGCCTCAGGTTCAGAAGCTTACACATAAAGGTGTAAAGGTGGAGAGAAGAGGAAGACTACAATCAGAGTCAAGTACAAATCATTTAGTGTTTTGTTAGGAGTATGTTTTCCCTGCTGGTATGAGTATGTTTTTCCGCCCACCTGGTCCCAGAGTGCGCCAGCCCCAAATAACACACAGAGACGCTGTATTAGATATAATGCTGTTAGCCTGTTACTGTCATTTCTTATTGGCTAGCTCTGTCTTAAATATTAACCCATTTCTATTAATTTAAATATTTCCACGTGGTCTTATCTTACCAGGGAGAGGGTCTGGCGTTCTACTCTCTCCATTCTTCATGTTGACTCTCTTCCCTACTTCTTCCTCTCTCCTCCTCGTCTCCTAGACTCACCTATCTTGCTTTCCTATTGGCCAACAGTGCTTTATTCATTAACCAATACGAGAAACATATTTACAGAGTGACATCTCCCATCAGTTTTTGTTTTTTTAAGACAGGGTTTCACTATGTAGCCTTGGCTGGCTTAGAATATAAGCTCACAGAGATCTATCTGCCTGCTTTTACCTCTTGAGTGCTGGGACTAAAGGTGTGTGGCATCATGCTTGTTGAAGACATTTTTGAAAAATTTTACTTTTTTGGATTTAATTTTTTTAAAATTTAATTTAAAAATAAATAGCCTTACTGTACTATCTATCCTTAAGTAGGAAGGAAGGAGTATTCATCTTTATTTACATTCCAGTTATTAGGGAAGCGTATGGATCAATATTTTAGCTGGCATGAGAAGCAGTTATCAGAGTCACCCTTCTCTGGAACATGAAATACCATGTTGTATAAAGAATAGGATATGAAAATGTTTTTACATTTTAAGAAAATCAAAATATATCATGTGATAATTTTTTCCCCCCTAAATAGTGGTTTTGTTTGTTGATATAAACCTTAAATTCTTGGTGCTGTTAGTTAAGACATTGTTAAAGACCTTGTATTTTTCCTACTTTGTAGGAGGTAAAGATGGGTGACTGATGGTATATGGTACTTGAAAGTTTTTGGCATGGCATTTCTTCTGTTTAGAAAAGAAATACTATAGTTAATTAAAAATATAGATGATATTGGACAACTATACCCATCAACAAAGTAAAAAGAAATAAACTCTTTATTACTTTGCTGTTCAACACTGGTTGGATGATATTTGATTTAAGTTTAATTTAGCTATGATTTAGTTTTTATTAGTAAATCAAATGTTAAGATGTACCTCAAGTTCCAACTCCAGGTCACTTCTTTGTCCTTTGCTGTTAATGACAAAGTTTCAATTTCTGTATTTGAGTCTTTCTGTTACTCTAGTTCTTCTTTGTGTTTGCTATAGGCTTACCTACCAAGAATCTAGCTTGAAATATTCAATTTTATTGTATTTTAGATATTTTTTTTCTCTTTTCTAGGAGCACCTTCCAGAGCTCTTTGTACATTTTCAATCTCAGAGTTTCCACACATCAATGTATGCATCATCCTGGTTTCTGACTATCTTCCTTACAACCTTCCCACTACCCATTGCAACAAGGGTATTTGATATCTTTATGTCTGAGGTAAGCTAATGAGCAGATGAGGAATAAAAACAGAATAAAGGAGTCATTGTGTTAATAAGAGCAGGGCAATGTAAGGAGAAACTCGGGAGCTGCCTTTGTCCCCACTGCTCTGCTTCCATGAATTAACCTCACTTAAACCCTTACAACAACTGTAATGGGTAGGTTCTTGTAATATCCCCATTTGTTGGATGATAGATGAGGAAGCTGAGGTTGCCATGGGTTTTGAGTAGCCTGACTGTAGATATTACAAGTACTTGGGCCTGTATCCAGCATTCAAATATATACAGTTAAGTGTAGCACGAATTCTAATTGGTCTTAATAGTAAAAACTTGGGAGTCAGCTATCGGGGTGAAAGCTGAAAGCTGAAGGATCAGAGAAGTAGAGTGGCCAGCCATTAGAGTTCTTACCTCTACTGATGCTCAGACTAAAGGGGTGATCCTGTCCATATTTCTTCCTGTCTACACTTCCTTAGTGCTGAGATTAAAGGTATGTGACTCCCAGATACTGGGATTAAAGATCTGAGCCACTGCTGCTTGGCTTTATTTCTCTTTTAGATTGGATCAATTTTGTGTAGCCCAGGGTGGCCTTGAACTAACAGATTTGTCTGCCTCTGCCTCCCAAGTGCTGTGATTAAAGGTGTGAGCTACTACTACCTGGCCTCTATGGCTAATTTATCTGGCTAGCTTTGCAACTTGGACCTTAAGGCAAGTGTCATTTGTTAGGTTATAAACAAAATAGCACCACAGTTACGTTTTGGATCTTCTCACCAAATTTATCCTCTTTATCACCTTTGAATGATGCAGTGAGAGTAAATGAGAAGTAAATTATCCCACACAGTTAATACTGTTGCAGCACATCTGTTTCCCAAATAATAAGGCTTATAATCCCTATAATAAAGCTGTATGTATTTTGTGTAAGCTTTCCTATTGTACTTTAGTTATAAATGGCTAACAGAGGATCCTTCTCCTCTGTTGTCTGAACATAATAATGTTAGTTACTTCTTGGAAGGATCAGTTTATATGATTTATCTAATTTAGTTTGGACTGAAGTTAGAAAACAGCAATTCACTTACTTAGCTCTGTGGTTTCCATATCAAAGCTGTCTTCTCATTTGTTTCCTTGGAACACTGTCCTGCCTATTAGTGCATGTGTTTGTGTCTACTATAGGGCACAACTATAGTTGTGAAGGGGCAGGTGGGCTGTTAAGTCTAAAATGTTTGTTCTCTGACTCTTTACAGAAAATGTTTGCCAGTTCTTAGTTTAGATCCTCAAATGCTTACCTTGGTATTATTTTGAATGATTAGTTTTTGCTGATGGAAGTGTAAATAAATGTGGCTTTATTTTATTTGTTTCATCAGGGTTTAGAAATTGTGTTTCGAGTAGGATTAGCACTTCTTCAAATGAATCAGGCAGATTTAATGCAACTTGACATGGAAGGAATGTTACAGGTAAATCAGTTCATGATTTCTTGTATGTTTCTAGATTTGCTATAAATTTAGCTATAAATCATTTATAGTAATAATTTTGCTTTTCATTTGTTATTTCTTAGCATTTTCAGAAGGTCATTCCACATCAGTTTGATGGTGGCCCAGACAAATTAATTCAGTCAGCTTACCAAGTCAAGTACAACTCAAAAAAAATGAAAAAGTAAGTATGTTGAATGGTATCTTGTACTATGGAGCTTATTGAAGCATGTAGTAAGTCAGTGGACATGTGTTGGTAGGGGTCTCTTGTCCCACCAGGTCCCGCTGCCCTTTTCAGCCCCAAATGAACACACAGAGACTATATTAATTATAAACCTGTTGGCCAATGGCAAGGTCTTCTTATTGTTTATCTCTGTCTTAATTATTAATCCATTTCTATTAATCTAAGTCTTATCTCACTGGAGAAGGGTCTGGACCTGTTACTCCTTCCTCTTCTACACGGTGTCTCCTTTTGGCAGGCTCTCTCTGACTACCTTTCCCAGAATTCTCCTAGTCCTGCCTATCTTCCTGCCTCTATTGGCCAAACCGTGTTTTATTCATCAACCAATAAGAGAAACATATATACAGAAGGACATCCCCCATCAGACATGGGAAGCATTTTTGTGAAAAACACCATATTTTTCCTCCTTATGCTATTAGATTTTACCTTACTTAATAGTATTAGCTTCAGTACAACAAAGGTAATGTTAGACAATCATCCTTCTTTCAGTAGTGATATATAGAACCACTGTACACTACTTTTAAAATCCCTCCTTCCTTCCCATTCTGATGGGAGTTAGGATTTTGGCATGCATATGTGTGTAAGTGTTCTGTTCTTTTTAATATTTACTAGGCAATGAACAGAGGGATTGAGCATGCTGAGTACATACTCTCCAAGCCTAACATGCTGTTTACTAAAGAAACATAGTTAGTGGTTCTGGCCACTGACACGGTTTTCCTCTCAGCTCCTTCCCAGTGCTACTTAAGCACTGTACAGCCAGTAGTGCTGATCAGAGGTTGAGATTCTCATCTTTTTATTGTTATTTCCTGGAAAAGCTTTGTGTGGTATAATTTTACTAAAAAAAAGAAAGTTCAAGATAGTCAATGTCAGTTCCTGGCTTAATATTTTTTTCTCTTAAAAATAAAGTTAGTATGTTAATTAAGAATTACAGCTATTATTCTTCTTTTCTAGCTTCTAATTAATACTTAAATGATTCTAGCCTAAAGACATAGTTAAAATTCAGGTCACTGGAGCTTCTATGGTTCTGAACTGCAGCAATGCTTGTAGTAGCAGAATGCTTGTTCTTTTGAGACAGTGTCTCCATTTTGTAGCTCAGGCTGGCCTAGAACTCTGGCAGTCCTTCTTAACCTCCCACATAATAGGATTAAAGGTGTGTATCACCTTTTCTGGCTTCCTCTCCTTTTCTAAATGAATTTTTTTGTTCCTTTATAATACTAATTCTCAGCACAGAGATATTTCCATTTCCTCCAAGTCCTTGATCTATTAGTTATTCTTCTGTATTTTGTCTTTAACGTCTGTATAATGTTTTATTACATTTATTTATTCTGTGTGTTTGCACTCACAAATAGGTCATCAGGTTTGGCTGGTGCCTTTGCCCACAAAGCCATCTTACCAGCCCCCTCTTTGTCTTATTTGTGACATGGCCTTACTGAGTAGCCTGCTGTTCTGCTTGTTCCTCTTGGGTGTGTGCCACCATACCTGGCCTTAAGCTTTATTTTACTTTCTTTGCTCTAAGAAAGTCAATTTTCACTAAGTTTTGACTTAAAAGTCTCTCCATCCTGCTTTTTATGAAGTTTAACTCTAAATGAATAGTTTGTAGTCATTAGCTTAGCTTCATGTCATATTTTAACTATCTTTTTTCAACTAGGAACAGAAAAATAGATTAGAATGATAAATATCCACATTTGTATCTAATTTTTAGCAATTGTTAATACTTTGCTATATTTATTTTCCTTAGAAATTATAAAGCAAGTACAGAAACTGTGATGCCATATTCACTTATATCTCATGTCCATTGTTATAAAATAAAGTTGTCTGTTTCCCTCGCTGTAGGACTTTGACCGCTTAACAATGATGTCATATGTGCAGTGTGTATGTCAGGATGTTTTTGCTGTGGATTGCATCACATGCAATGGTCCTACATTTCCCCTTGTCCTGACATTTCCTCAATTGCCCTGTGTCTACTCTGTTATTTTTTTTCTCATATAAGTTATTTCAACTTATACCTTGAGGAAAAGTAAAGAAATTGTGTTTTATGTTAATATGTCCTTTTACGTTAAATAATTTAATTACTTTTGAATGAAAATACACCTTTAACTTTCTCTTTTTAGACTTGAAAAAGAATACACTACAATAAAGACAAAAGAAATGGAGGAGCAAGTTGAAATTAAAGTAAGCATTTCAGTGTTTTTGAGATACAATTCTTTAAGTCAGGAATTTGATAGTAGATGTTAGAATGAAATTTGTGTTTTCTGGCTCCTCCTGTAGTTGCAAGCAGAACAGTGTGACTGCTTGCACTCTGTGTTCCTCGGGTGTGAGAAAAAACAGCTCTCTGTCCTTGTTCCTCTTTAAGAGAAAACCAGCCCACAGAAATTGCATTCTGCTTAAACATTTTTGTAGAACTTGCAGAGAAGGTAATTAATTGTGTACTGAAGTCTAGAGAAAGAGCCATCTGAGCCAGACCACATAGGACAAGTCATTTATGAACTAATTGTCCTGGTGTGGCATAGCAGTTTCCCTTGGCCAGTGCAAATTTTTCTTCTTTAAATGAAGTTTACATTTTTGAATTACCCTCAGGAAAACAGATTTTCAATTTGGAGGACGAATAAATATATTCTTTGTACTCTGAAATTCTTATTTGTACCTCTTGTAAGCCAAGAAATTCCTTTGTAATTTAGAAAATACTAGATTCTATAATAATGTGGGTAAGGTTGTACATATCTTGTACAGTGAGTTAACCTGTACCAGTAGAAAAAAAAAGTTTGGCATCTTTAGATCAGTGTAACTGTTAATATCAGTACAATGCCAGCTCAGTACAGTAAACTCATATACATTTCCCCAAAGTTTCAAAACAGCCTAGAACTTCTGTTTATTTGAGAGAGGATGGCCTTGATGACCGCTAGCCCTGCTGCCTCCACCTCCCAGGTGTTGAGACTATAGGCATTTGCCCCCAGGCCTGGCAAAGCCAGACAGTGCTCCTTCTTACTGCACTTGTGTACTGTTTTTGTTTGACTGTGTGCACGAGCACATACATATCACAGTGTACTAGTGAGTGACTTGTAGTTGGTTCTCTTCCTTTCACCATGTCTGCCCCAGGGCTTAAACTCAGACCATCAGGCATAGTGGCAAGTGCCTTTACTGACAAAGAATTCTTGAGAACTGCTGGTGCTCTCACAGTTGGAGTTTAGAAGTTGGATGTTCTGATGCTGCAGGGTGGGAATAGTAAATTATGCATTCTGATTGGCTGATCCAGTATCTAATCTCTTTACATGCAATCTCTGGAAGGCCAAAAATCAAGCAACTCAAAGAAATGTTATTGTGTGCCTGGCAGAGGTTGGCACACGCCTTTAATCCTAGCACGCAGGAGGCAGAGGCCAGTCTGGTCTAGAGAGTGAGTTCCGGGACAGCCAGGGCTAAACAGAGAAACTCTGTCTCAAAAAAAAAAAACACACAAAAAAAAAAAAAAACCCAACAAAAACCAAAATGCTACTTATTTACTGGCCAGAGAGACAGCTTCATGGGATTGGATTCTTTCCCTCTTCTCTGTGGGTCCCAGGGATTAAATTTGCATTATCAGACCTGGCAGCAAGTTCCTTGCTATTTCTCCACCCCACAAAATAACTTTTTAAAAAGGATTTATTTAGGCTGGGTGGTGGTGGTGGTGATGGTGGTGGTGGTGGTGGTGGTGGTGGTGGTGGTGGTGGTGGTGGTGGTGGTGGTGGTGGTGGATGCCTTTATTCCCAGCACTCAGGAGGCAGAGGCAGGCGGATCTCTGTGAGTTGGAGACCGGTCTACAAGAGCTAGTTCCAGGACAGGCTCCAAAGCCACAGAGAAACCCTGTTTTGAAACAAACAAACAAAAAATATTTATGTGTGTGAATGTTTTGTTTGCACGTGTTTGTGCACCTACTGCATACCTGATGGCCTTGGATCAGAGAAGGGTGTTGGAGGCCCTGGTGCTGGATTTAATGATTGTTGTGAGCTGCTATGTGGGTGCAAAAAGAGGAACAAATGCTGCTAGCTGCTGACTTACAACAGCATTTAATTAATCTCTTTACCCCCTTTAAAACCCTTTGGGTGTGTTTGGATTTGACATCAGATGGTAACCATTAAGTGTTAACGAGCCTGGCTCTAACTCTACTTCACCCTCCTGGCTCTAAAGGGCTTCAGGGTTAGTTTTCCCTCAGAAGCCTCCTGAGTGATGATTCTCCTGCTCCCTGTGTGAACTACCTCATGTCTGCTTTCTCCCTTTTTCTAAATGCCTTATTTGCATTGCTGTCATCTAGCCCTTACTAATGGAAGTCTGCACACTTTCATAAAGAAAACCCTGTGGGTCTCCTCCTCCACCTTGATTGTCACTAAATTGCTGTTCCATAGTTTGCTTTGCTTTTGGGGCCACGAGTAATGTTATGCCCTACACTGGAGCCCACTGAAAGGGGAAGTCTTTGGTCCTGACCAATGGGTGTACAATGTGGGTTGTTATGTGTGTAACACACTGGAAACTGCAAATTCAGGTTCGGAGGATGGGGGCCATCTTGTATTTCACCATGTTAATTTATTCATAATTTTATGAACAATTCTTGTTCTCAAAGAGGTTTCACACAAATTAAGTTATGTAAATATAGAATCAAAGTGGCATCCACAGAAAGATCATTAGCCAGTGACTTAATCTCTATGTTTTCAGAATTAAAGAATAGCTTTGGTGTGTGTGTGTGTGTGTGTGTGTGTGTGTGTGTGTGTGTGTGTGTGTATGCATACCACATGTGTGCCTGGTGCCCATGGAGTTCAGAAGAGTACATGGGTTTTGAGAAAGATAACCCAAGAATTGAAGAAATTACCTTCTTTTTAAATTAGATTAAAAATCCAACATGTATTTATTATTTGTGTTTATGTGTGTTCCTGTGCATGCATGTGTCTCATAACACACACATTGAGGTCAAAGGATAACCCATGGGAGTCAGTTTCTTTCTTCCACACTATGGGTACAGGGTATCAAACTCAGGTCTTTGGCTTACTGTTAAGCACCTTTCCAGTGAGCTATCCACTGATCCACCTTTATCAGATAATAAAGTAGGGTGCATAGTAGTCTAAAAGAAAAGAAAAAATTGAAGCTTAAAACAGTAACTTTAACCAAGTGGTAGTGTCAGTGGCTCAGACATTTAATCCCAGCACTTGGGAGGCAGAGGCATGCAGATCTCCGAGTTCAAGGCCAGTCTGGTCTACATACAGAGCAAATTTCAGACCAGGTTCAAAAGCTACAGAGAAATCCTGTCTCAAAAAACAAAACAAACAAAACAGTAACCTTGAGGGGGCTGGGGGAGATAGCTCAGCAGTTAAGTAGCACTTGCTCTTCCAGAAGTCCTGAATTCAATTCCCAACACCCACATTGTGGCTCACAACTGTCTATAACTGCAGTCTGATGCCCTCTTTTGGCGCACAGATGTACATGCAGACAGAACATCTATATACATAAAGTAACACTGAAGTGGATACTATGTATTAGCCTTACCTGTCAGCTAATTATGAAGCCTTATCACACAAATTACTTAAAGACAGTATTGAGACATTTGGTTAGGTGTTTCTTTTTTGTTTTTTTGTTTAGAGGGAATATAAATTTGTAGTAAAATAAAACATTTACAGTGGGGGGGGAGATGGAAATTCAGGTGACTATTCTAAATTTCACTTTAGTATAATGTCTGTTGTAATTTTATACTGTTGTCTGGTTAGAATTTAACAGTCTAAATTTTTTAAAGATAAACAGCATATTACCTTTTATTAATATGTGATTGGGAAAACTTTGAGAACACTGTGTGGGTGGGTGGGTGGGTGGGTGGGTGGGGGAGGTTCTCTTTCTAGACTTTCAACAGTTTTGTAATTTCTGGCAGCTGCTATACTGCACATAGTTGGAGTTGCCAAGAAATAAGTAAGAAACATTTCTCTTCACACTGTTATTTGTTTTCTCAGCTCTTAACTGTGTTTTAGAGAACAGAACAAGAAAACCCCACTCTCTTAATAAGATGTGAAAATTGAGTTTATTTCTCCAAACTGCAGCTTTTGTGTATAGTATAAACTGTATACTTAAGTCTCATTGGAGAAATAGCAGATTGGACTGGTGGAAGAATTCCCTGAGAAAGACATTTCTAGAAGAGAGTCACAGGAAGTTAGAATTGAAAGGTGGGCTGAAAAGACATTTCTAGAAGAGAGTCACAGGAAGTTAGAATTGAAAGGTGGGCTGAGCTCTGGAAGAAATTAATACAGAATAGTAAAGGGTTTGAAGTGTGAGAGCTGACCAATTGGAAAGAACATGGATGAGACAGTTCAGAAATGGTGTGGTAAGGCAGTTCAGTGGGTAACAGCACTTGCTGCATAAGGCATGGGGATCTGAGTTTGAATTTCCAGCAACCACCCTTGTAAAAATTGGACAACGTCGTGTGCACCTACAACCCAACCCCAGGGATGTGGAGGGAAAAGTCAGGAGGAGCCCTGGGTCCTGCTGACTGTCAGCTTCACCCTAGATTCAGTAAAAAGGTCTTGTCTCAAGGGAATAAGGCAGAGAGAGGGAGAGCAGGGCACCATGCATCCTGCATGTGGATATATACCACACACACACACACACACACACACACACACACATACACACACACACACAAATTCAGGAATAATTTATGGGATTAATGAATTATATTGATGGAATATATAAAGAGATTAGCTGTCAAAGTGGAATTATTTAGATTTAACACTTATAGTAACTTGATAAGTATTAGAGAGTCTAGAATTTAACCAATTACATAAATGTACTTTTTGTATTTTGGTTTTTCAAGACAGGGTTTCTCTGTGTAACAGTCCTAGCTGTCCTGTCCTGGAACTCACTGTGTAGACCAGGCTAGCCTTGAACTCACAGAGATCTGTTTGTCTCTGTCTCTGTCTCTGGGATTAAAAATGTGTACCACCACTGCCTGGCCAAATGTACATTTTTTTAAAAATAAGATTTTTTTATATAAGAAAATACTAGTAATTCGAGTTTTTAATTTTCTCAATTAGAAACAACTCACGGTAGATGCTTTTGAATGTTTGGATTGTAAGGCTTTTTGTACAGTGGTATTTGTAATATGAATGGAAACTGGTATAGTTTAACAATAATTTGACATTTAATCTACGAACATGCATATTTGAAGTTTGTTCTTTGTTCAACTAATTTTTGAATACCAGTTATATCATTAGGCTCTGTAGGAGACAAAGGTTGTTAAAATAAGATTATTAGGGAGGCTGTATAGTGGCTCACAGCTGTCTGTAACTTCATTTCCAAGAGGATCTAGCACTCTCCTTGGGCACTGCACATAGGTGGTGCACAGATATTCAGACAAGACCCTCATACACATAAAATTAAGATAAATAGTATAAGCCATTATAAATGGAGAAAACAAAGGCTACTTATGTATTACACTTAATGTTTAGTCATAGCTGCCATGACAAATGGGATTGTTTCCTTTGCCATTTATCTGTGCTAAGCCTTTGATAGTTCAACATGTGATAATGTAACAGTTCGTCACAATCATTCCTTAATTATTCCTTAGTGTTTTGCTTGCCTGTATGTCTGTGTGAGGGTGTCGGATCTCCTGGAACTGGAGTTATAGACAGTTGTGGGCTGCCATGTGGATGCTGGGAACTGACCCAGGGTCCTCCAGAAGAGCAGCTAGTGCTCTTAACCTCAGAACCACCTCTCCAGCCCATAAGGTAGTGCATTATCAACACTTTGACTTAGGGATCTGTTTTTTTTTTTTTTTCTCTCTCTCAAATGCTTGCAAACAAACATTTTTTTCTTTTTCTTGGCAGAGGTTACGCACAGAAAATAGGCTTTTAAAACAGCGCATTGAAACATTAGAAAAAGTAAGTAAAATATTTATTGCAAGTTTCTGTTGAATGCTTGTTTGTCTCAAAAACAAAAACAGCCAACCAACAATCTACTTAATTGAAAAGAGCTGAATTCAGAAACTCTTTTAAAGCTAAAGATTGAAAGGAAGTTGGTGTGAATCTGCCCCCAAGATATTACCAAGTATACTTAAAATTTTCTGAAACTTTATAGGTTAATATCCAAGAAAGAAATAACTAGAAGGGGGGGGCAGTTGGGTTATTTGTCCTTTATTCTAGAAACCTCCATGATTTTATATTAAATAGTGGTGCACCAAGGACAAAATATTTAGCACAGGTCTATTGATGTGATGATTGCAGACACTGTATACCAAGTCATGCACAAGGACAAGATATTTATCACAGGTCTAATTGATGGTGCAGTAGCAGATCCTGTATCCCAGATGAAATATAGTTCCTATTGTGAGATTGGATTGCAGTGACTTGTAAGGCAGTTTTACTTTTTGGTGATTATTTTTTATGCACATAATGAGCTTATTAAGTCTTTTTAATTTGTATTATCCCTGCTTCCACCAAATACCCAGCTTGTAGTAAAATATGCAACTTAAATGATTTTCATTATTAGAGTTATATATTTTCACAGGGAAAGTATTATTTCATGGGAGGCTTCAGAGTCATAAAGAAGATCTAGGAAGATATAGTTTGGTTTTGTGTCTAGACCGAAAAATAACCTGTTTTTCACTGGCATAGGGCCCTCTTCTTCTCCTCCTCCTCCTCCTCCTCTTCCTCCTCCTCCTCCTCCTCTTCTTCTTCTTTCTTCTTCTTCTTCTTTTTTTTTTTGCATTTAGAATTATCTAAGTACTGAAGTCTTAGTTGAATTCTTGAACCAAAAGTGTACATCCTGAAATATGTTAAGAATTTAAGTTGAACTTAGGAGTTTCTGTTATTATCTTTCTTGCCTTTTCTCTTGGATGCTCATGTTGTATCCAGTTACTGCTGCGTTTTATGAGTGGTATATTGCTGACTCAGATCTCTTCCTCCCTTTATGGAAGTGGTTTGATGATATGACTTGACTGAAATAAAGATTTAAAGGTATATTTTCAAGAAGAAAATACTTGTTTGTCCCAAGTAATGAAAGATATATCTCTAAGAGACATGATTATCTGTAATTTGCCCCTATTTTGATATTTGTTTTTTAAAAGTTAGAAATAAAAAACACTTATTAAAAGAGTTTTAAGTTAAATGTCCATTTTCAATAGCGATGAAATGTAGATGGAATTTGGGTGTGGATGCTTCCTCTTATTCCTAATTTTATCACTTTGATTTTCTGTCTTTTATATTTCTATCTAAATTTTTCCTTTTGTAGGAAAGTGCTTCCTTGGCAGATAGATTGATACAGGTATAGTTTATCTTTTTTTTTTTTTTTTTTTTTTTTTGTGTTTTCACTAACCACTAAAGGAAATCCTAAACTTAGAAATTCATACTTAATGCATGCAATTTTACATGCATTTTCTTAGAAATAATTCTTTGGGCTGGCATATGGATGTATACTTAATGTTTTGATAAATGTATTACCATTAATTGGATGCCTATCCCTGCACGTTTTAAAGCTAACCTTATTTTTAAAGTATTTATTTCAAATGGCAAACAGTGGATTCTGTGACATTAACCACTGTTCATTGAACATTTTAGCCCTGCATGTACAACTCAGTAATATTGCATGAATCACATTTTTTTTTATCGACTAAAAGAATTGTTCTTAAGACTGTCACATGAAAATTTCATTTAGTTTCCTCAGATTTGCTAGAGCAAAATAACAAGCTCCTAGTTAATAATTACTTAGGCTATTCTGTTCTCTGAGGTGTTTTTTGTTTTTAAACATGTCAAGAAGTAACCAAACTTCACAAAGGCAGTCTTTCTTAAATCTATTCTAAATTGCTTTATACACACACAAAAAATTATGTCCTAAGGGACAAGTGACAAGAGCCCAGGAGGCTGAGGAAAACTACCTCATAAGACGGGAGTTGGCCACCATCAGACAGCAGAGTGATGAGGCCAGCGCTAAGCTGGAGCAGGCTGAAAGCACCATCAGGGAGCTCCGGCACCGGCATCACGGGGTAAGGAGTCGGAGCCCTCTTCACCTCCCTTAGGCCACATGTGTGAGACACAGCTTTAGGAGAACTGTTAAAACCTCCCCGTGTACTCTGAAACTCAAGAGTTCTTTTGTGGCCACAGAGATTCATGTTCTTTCTTTTTTGTTTGTGGCTTTGTTAGAAATAGATAATATTTTCTTTTATGTTATATCCTAAGTCATAGAAAACAAGCCATATGCAGCTGCTGTTTAGATTTTTAGATACCTCTTTCATAGGTAATCCTGACAGCAAGTAATTCTTGATCACTATAAAGTGGCTATTACTCAGCATTTAGAATGTGTGTTTAAAACGCTCATGGTGTTGACAGCTTATATTTTGTGAAATATTCTAGCTTAGACATAGAAATATCACAACATTGAATTATGAGTTAAAGTACATGCTTTCGTTTACTTGAAGAGGAGGAAAGTTGTCAAATAGGGGGAGTAAATTTTTTTTTTTTTTTTTTTTTTTTTTGGTTTTTCGAGACACCATTTCTCTGTGTAGTTTTGGAACCTGTCCTGGAACTTGATCTGTAGATCAGACTGGTCTCAAACACACAGAGATCTGCCTGCCTCTGCTTCGCTAGTGCTGGGATTAAAGGCGTGAGTTACCAGTCCCCAGCAGGGGAGTAATTCTTAATTCTTCAATAATATAAATTACTGCTGGGCAATGGTGGTGTATGAATGGGCATTACTGTTATTCAACAAAATTAAGAAACATCATTATCTGTATTCAAGAGTGAGAAGACTAGAAAGGAAAAGAGCAATGAAACCGGAAATAATGTATTTTTTTCTATTAGTTAAGAAAAATGAATATGTTAAAGTATTACTGAAATGACCGCAATAGTTTGTTAAGAATAGTTGTTAAGAAAAATAGTTCTTAATAGTGAAAAGGGCATGATTTGTCAGTGCAGTGTCTCTGTTTGGAAGGAAAGTACGTTACCTTGCTTGCATTAGCATCAGCTGCAGCTTTGACACAGTTAAGCTACAAGACATAGAAGACAGTTAATAGCTGAAACCTGTGAGGGTGTAGTAAATTGTAGGTCATGGATGTGAAACTAGGAGGGTGTGCAAAATGAGTGAAATGTAGTAGCTTAGCCTTGAGTGAACATCCAAGTTCAAGTCGTATTATCTCAGATATTAAAATGCCTTACAGAATGGTTGTGGAAATAGTAGAAAATGCATTTTCAGAAAATGAGAAATACAGCAGCTTTAATGTAGAAACATGCATTTCTCACAGAAAGCAGTAAGTGAATGTTAGGTTTGATAATGTGGCCTTGCTTATGCTTCACTAAGAATTCTAAGAAATCCATTTTATGGCTTAGTAAAAGCTAATTGTGTCAAGACAGAAAAATGTTATTTCTGTAGATATTGGTGAATATATTCTGTAGTTATAGTGCATTTCCATAAGTTATTTGATAAGTTATTAATGGACCTTTTTCCAGTCAAGACAGAAATTAAGATGAAAATAGTAAAGTAAATGATTAAATATATCAAGAGACTACTAATTTTCCTGCATGAAGGTATTGAAGAACTTTGTCGCTGATACTGTGCTCAGTGCTTCATATTAGGCTGTCCATATGTATAGTATGTTCAAGAACTTTGTACTTGAATTATTTAAAAAATGGAGCCAGTGTTTTAGATGATAAACCAATATTAATTCTATGTTAAATATTACGAACATTTAATTTCTATTTACAAGAAAGTGAAAGATTATTTCAAAAAATTGATAGCCCTACCCTTCGAATTAAATCAGATATTTATGTATGTTATCAATGCCATGTATGACAAAAGTGTAAGATTTGAATTGACAGAATCAGAGTCTTACTGGTTTCAATTTCAACAAAAGTGAATTACAGAGTAGTAGACATGTTAGTGACGGAGGTGAGTACAGTGTTTTGCTACATATTTTGGTTATAGTGTTCCCTTAAATACAACTTTTTGAGTGTTTGAACTCTCACAGTTAGTGTTTAAAATCCATATTCCAGCTGGAGATAGTGAATTTTTAATGCAGCTTTTTACTACCACTTTCTACTCCTGCCATTCTTGCATTTTATGTGATATAAAGACCTTTAGGTTTTATATACGGAACTAGGCTTTAGTCCTATTTTGCTAATAGTGACCTCTGATAGTCAATGTACTTTTGTTTGGTTTCAGAAATAATTTAAGTAGAGCTGGACCATTTAAAGTCATTCCCCCCCCCACATAATTTGTGAAATTTAAGTATGTAATTGGATGTGTTTTAAATGTAGAGGGATTGTGTAACTACCACAATAAAAATGGCAATTTCTATCACTTTCATAATGTCCTTGTGGTACAGTTAATTCTCTATCCTCAACCTAGCAACCTGTGCCTGAATACTTGGGACTTTCCTAGGATTTTCTGTAAGTGGAATTGTAAGATAGACATGTCTAGTTTTTTTTTAGTTAGCATATCCATTTACTTTTATTTATATTTTTATGATTTTTTTATTGTGATAAAATATAACATGAAATTTACCATTTAAGTAAGTGTGGTTCAGTGGTATCGAGTGTATTTTCATTGTTAGTAATAGTACCGTTGTTTATAAAAATTTCTCAGGGTTTTAAACTGTACTCCTTAAATAAGAAACAAATGAGCTTACTGTTGTGAAAAAACTTACAAAAAACGTGTGTGGCTATGGTAAGTATGACTGACAAGCAGGACTTGAGAGGTGGCTTGGTGGTTAAAACACTTGTTGCTCTTTACAGAGGACCCAGGTTTGATTCCAGTGCTCACACAGCAGCTCACAACCATCTGATTCCAGTTCAACTGCAAACACTGGCTAATTAAAACAAAAAACAAGATGTGCTTACAGGAGCACACAGAGTTCTTGTGCTGGAGCAGCAGGGTGATCAGGGTTGATCAGAAGGAAGTAGGTGGAAACTCTCTTGAGGCTGGCCTTGGATGTATCTTAATAAGGAGTGTGTGTGTCCCTTTAGATTAGATGAGGGGTCTGGAGCTGAGGAGGGAGCAGCAACAGGTCACCAGTCCAAGGGCTGTGGGATTATAGCCCCCAAGGCATTTGAGAAATAGAGAAGGTAAGAATTTGAGTGTCTGGATTTTCACTGATTGGTGGTTATTGGGACTATTACACTGTCAAGCTTTTATGTGATTTCAGGATGATATTCGAATAGGGCAATTCTGTTTGTTGTGCAGGAGGACAGATTTTATGTTCACAGACTAGGAATACAGTGTATCTATATAACTTTCAGGTTGTGTGACAGATCAGGTGGACCAAATGAGCTCTCAGGGAGGAAGTTTATTTAGGTCATGGTTTCACCTCTTAGTTAATTGGACCTGTTTCTTTGGACCAGGACGAGAACTCAAGATATAGGAAGCCAAGAAGCAGAGAGTGTCTCTTTCAAGGACATACCCCTAGTGTACCCCCCTCTCCCACCCCATTTCCTAAAGGTTTCATAACCTCCATGTCCTTTTCTTTGAGGGACACTTGGGGTCTGACCTCCAGCAGTTGGCCCTTGAAGATGAGTGTGGTGGGCTCAGTTGCAGAAATCTGGAAAGAGCAGGCTTAATAGACTGCTCTGTGGCCACTAGAAGTTTGTGTAACTTGACAGCTGAGAGTGACTCTTGCCCACTGAATTTTCAGGCGTTAAAGACGGAGCAAGTTTAGGCACAGTGTGCTAATTGAAATGCTGGTGTGGTGTTCGAATGAGAATGACCTCATACATTTGAATGGTGGATTCTTTAAAGTATTTAGGAGGTGTGGCCTTATGGGAGGAAGATTGGCAAGGGTTGTGGGCTTTGAGATTTTAAACCTAAGCCAGGCCCAGTCTCTTTATCTCTATCTTGCTGACTGATGGTAAGCTCTCAGCTGCTGCTCCAGAGCTGTGCCCGCCCTACCCACCCCCATGCTTCCCTCCAAGATGACCATGGAGTCACACTTTTCATCTGTAGGTACCCCCAATTAAATGCTTCCTTCTATATGTTACAACTGTAGGCAACCCTCAATTAAATGCATTCTTCTGTATGTTAGCAACCCCTAATTAAATGCTTTCTTCTATACATTGCCTTGGTCATGGTGTCTCTTTACAGCAACAGAACAGTAACTAAGTTAAGGATGGAAAGTTAAAGCATCTGTATCAGAGTAGATTTAAGAATCAAATGGTATCAGGACTGTCCACAATAGCAACTGTAATGATCTCACTTAAGAGTGAGTATATGTAGGAATATATAGCATTCAGTGTTCCTACCAGTAGAGGGTTTTGATTCTTAACTGATGAAACAGTTGATATGAACAAACTCACAGTTGTAGTCCTTACAATTTTGTTTTTAATTATATGTACTGTCTGTGACTGTGAGTAGGTTTGAATACATGTGCAGTGTTCACAGAGGCCAGAAGAGGGCTTCTGGAGCTGCTGTTAGAGGCAGATGTGAACTTCCAGATGTGGTTACTGGGAATTGAACTCAGGTCCTCTTAACCAGTGAGCCATCTCATAAGCCCCAAAACAGGTATAGTCTTTAAATACTCCATCTCAGTAATTGGTAAAGGCCAGTAGGTGATACATCATTATAGAATAGGAACTCTGAACAGTACTGTTGCCATATTGAATCAATGGGCATTTATAAAACAGTATCAGACAACAGCAAAATACACTAAAGTAATGACACCTGGAGACACCTGAAAAATTCTCAAATTGTTGGAAATTAATATATTTTTTCCATAGGAGTCGAGAGGGGATCTGAAAGGAAACTAGAATATACTCTGTCTACTATAGTGCCTAATAGGGAAATTTAAAACAATGCTTGGGTTATGAGAGGTACTAAGTTTAATCACTAATTTATTTTTCCCTTAAGAATATAGGTATATGAGAGCAAATTGAACTTAAACCAAACAGAGAGGGGGATGAGAGAGTGAGAAGGAGACAGAGAGAGAGAGAGAGAGAGAGAGAGAGAGAGAGAGAGAACGAACTATACCAATCCAAGTCCAGAGCATCTGAGTCAGCATTGATCAGTGAAGCTAATAGGCCTCTGTCTGTCTATAATGACTAAAGAGGGGAGAAACAGTAACCAGTATCAAGAGTAACAGTGACTTTTTGCAAATAGAGCTCAATTGTTTTATTTCATATTCTGAATTTTTCTGATTCTTCTCCAGAGTGTCATTGTACTTTTTATTTTGGTTTTTCAAGACAGGGTTTCTCTGTGTAACAGCCCTAGCTGTTCCAGTGTAGACCAGGCTGGCCTTGAACTCACAGAGATCCGACCGCCTCTGCCTCCCGAGTACTGAGATTAAAGGTGTGAGCCATCAACACCCGGCTGTCATTGTACTTTTTATAAACTATATTGACTTAGATATTTAGATGAAAGAAATCGTTGTAGAATTTGTCCTCTTTTTAATCAGAAAGTGAGTTATGCCCTAGCCCAGTAACAGATTTGGTTAACAGGCTTAGGTTGGTTACTGTAGCTTCCCTTGTAAAGATGTGGCTTCAGCTTTGCAATTGTTAAGCAGTCTATTGGAAATACATTTGTACCAAATAACTACAGCTAACTACAGCCGTTTCTTGGTATCTTTAGGCTGATTGATTCTAGGAAGTACACTTAAATCTGTGGCTGCTCAAAATCCTCACATAGTAACATATACCCTCCACATATCCTTCTGTGTACGTCACATTTAAATTTATGGGTTACTTAATGCCTAATTCAGTGTAACTAATATGTAAATAATAGTTTTAACTTAGAAAATAATATCAAGAAAAAATTGCTTAATACATTTACATATTTGTAAAACTTTCCATCTTTGTGTTGTTGATGGGGGGATATCATTCTGTAAATAGGTTTCTCTTATTGGTTAATGAATAAAGTCCTGTTGGCCAATAGGAAAGCAAGATAGGCAGGACTAGGAGACAAGGAGGATTCGGGAAGAGGTTGGAAGAGAATCAAAATGTAGGATATAGAGAGCAGAACTCGGACCCTCTCTCAGGTAAGATAAGACCACATGGAAATACTTAGATTGCCAATTAAAAAAAAAAAAAACACTAGTAACAGGACAACAGCTTTATATCTAATACAGCCTCTCTGTGTGTTATTTGGGACTGACACGGCTGTGAAGCCCACTGTTGTGTGTGTGTGTGGGGTCCATCTGTCAGTGTTCATTGTCTTTTATTGAAATGTTTGGACATCCATGGATCTGTGTAAAGTTAGTTATTTCATTGTCTTGCCTCTTTTAACCTCTTTTGTCCCTCCCACCCTCTTACTAAAGCTCTTTTATATCACTCTAGGTTCATAGACTTTTGTTTATTCAATATTTCATATACTCTTTAATAGTTAATGCAACTGGTATAATGATGTTATACTTACTTAAATTTTAAAGTGTAAGGGTTGTCTTTTGCTTGTTTATTATTGGAAGTTGTGAATTTCTTAAATAATTTATTTGAGAGAATATATTCAGTAGTATGATGGTATATTGTTTGTGATTTATTAAAGCTTGCCTGAGGATTCAGAGAGCAAAGCCAGCCGTGTCAGGCAGTGGTGATACACAACTTTAATCCCAGCAGCCATACTAGCTATTTGGGCAGTGGTGGTGCACACCTTTAGTCTCAGGGCTCAGTATTAAGAGGGAGATGGATCTCTGTTAGTTCAAGGCCACACTGACTACATGAAATTGATCCAGTCCTAAAAGAAGCAGCTCACACAAAGGTGATCTCAGCACCTGGGATCGCATGCCTTTAATCCTAGCACTAGGGAGGTGGAGACAGGATTGATGTGGGTGGGTGGAGAAAGGAATAAAAGGTAGGAAGGGACAAGAACTGAGAGCTTTTACCTCTGAGGATTTGTGGAGACAGGATCAGCTATTTAGGCTGATCTACTGGCTTGGCTGCTTTGCTTCTCTGATTTTCAGCTTGAAACTTGAACCCCAGTATCTGTTTCTGAGTCCTGTATTAATGGTGCTACACAATAGCACATAGAAATTTCTCATACTTGACTATCTAGTGGATTTTTTTTTTTAAATAAAATGATGTCCTCTTCTGGTCTGTGAGGGCATGCATGCATGTCATATATTCTTAGACATACATACATACATACATACATACATACATGTAAACTTAAAATGTAATCTTTCTAAAAATAATTTTCACTTCAATCTAAAGGTTAAATGTTTATATTTATATATATTTGTCTTTCATTTTAACTAACAAATAAGAGGTCGCTACAGTGTGATATTTGTTTTCTTAACATTTCTTTGTCATACTAATAATTAAAAATAAGATAAATTTTAATTTTAAAGAATTTATGTAATTTTTTAGGTATTAGAAGGAAATCATTGAAACGATAGGTAGTTTTTGATAGAACTGTGATTTGAATGTAAGACTCATTCATGCTGGACATGTGGTTTATCCAGCTAGCGTATCTCCTTTTGTCTTTTCACTTTTTGTCTTGATATATAGTCTTACTAAGTTGCACATAGTGACCCGAATTCACTGTAGCCCAAACTAGCTTTGAGTTTCTAATTCTCTCTCAGTTTCCCAACTGCTTCAGTTATAGGCGTGTGCTGCTATGCTCCATAGATTTGAACTGAAATCAGTTATAGATGCGTGCCACTATGCCCGACAGATTTAAACTGAAATCAATTATAGGCATGTATACTGTGTCCCATAGGTTTAAACTGAAATCAGTTATAGATGTGTTGTGGCTGTGCCCAATGGATTTAAACTGAAATCAGCAAAAAACCTGCAGCCATTTTGGACACATGGGTAGGGATGGTTGGTTGTAAGCATTTTTGGGGGCCGTGTACTGGATATCAGAATATGCATTTTTGTTACAGAAACCTATTTTGAACTACTCTGCATTTTGTAATTGTTTATTTCTTCCAGATGCTTACAAATGTCACATTTGTAAGACTGTCTTACTATTTAATTTTGTATTTACATGCACTATTATATACTTTGTCTTGGGAATAAGTAAAAACATCATTTTAGAAGTAGCTCTAAATTGCTAGGTGGACATTTGAGTAAAATGGGAGCATAAAAATTAGGGTATGCATCAACACCCTCAGCGATTACTGTCTGTCTGTTTGTGTTGCAGCTTTTATATGGAATGGGCTTTGAGAAATTGCAAATGGCCTCATTGGCATGTGAATGCCAGGGGAGTAAAGAGGGAAAGGGAAGAAGCCCTACCTTGGTGATTTTGTCTTTGTGTAGCATCTGCTTTTTTTCTCTTCTTATGCTAATCCATGCAGATATTTTTAAGAAATTGACATTTCTAAAGCAAATACAATTTGGTTACTTGTGTTTAAGATATTTCACCTTATTTGGTGTGCCATTTTTTCACTTTGAATGCATTAAAACGTATTTTGCTTCAGTAGCCTGTTAGCTGAGCTACATAAACAGTCTTAAGATACTGTACTGTGCATACTGCAAAGGGTAAAGAGGAAGTTAATGTTTTTTGTTTACCTCAATTTTAAATAATATTTCAACATGCCATCACTGTAAAAAACATCAAGTTATTTTATTTGCTTATTTCATTTTATTCTTTTGGCCTTGGTGCTGGGTATTTAACGCAAGGGACTTGCCCTGAAAACCAGTTTGTGTCTTTTGTTTATAACCAGACTTGGCAAAGATTAGGCACACATCAGTACTCAGTGACCATGTGAGGCTAATGGTTACTGTATAGTCTGTAGAATGAGAACAAATCCTTAGTATCTTGAGAGATGGACAGAAAAAAGACAGGTGCTTTGTATGAACCAGATTGAGGTGTGGAATAGCTTGTTACCAAAACCCATTACACGGTCATCCCTAGAGATACCAGGACTAGGCTTTTCCTTCCTTCCTTCCTTCCTTCCTTCCTTCCTTCCTTCCTTCCTTCCTTCCTTCCTTCCTTCCCTCCCTCCCTCCCTCCCTCCTTCCTCCCTCCCTTCCTCCCTTCCTCTCTTCCTCCCTTCCTCCCCCCCTTCCTTCTTCTTCCCTCCCTCTCTCTCTTCCATCCCTCCCTCATTTCTAAACTCATTTGTTTGGGGAAAAGGAAATAATTTGGCATACTGAGTAGATGGAATTTTACTTTTTAGTTGCCCATAATACCCACATTCTATGATTTCATTATTTTTCCTGTATTTACGTGTTTGTGTTTCCATAAAATTTCAGTATGTGTCTCTAACCTTTAGCATAAATGCAGCTCCACCTACAGTGAAGAGTTTGTGCTGCAGCTGGAAAAGGAATTGGTCCAAGCCAGACTGAGCGAGGCTGAGTCTCAGTGTGCACTGAAGGAGATGCAGGATAAGGTGTTGGATATAGAGAAGGTAAGCAAGACTGCACAGATACTATCTACGTCTTTCCATTCCTAATGGGAGCCATGCTAGACACTTGTTAAGTTCCTGCTGAAGAACTGAATTAGACCTCATGATTTTTACATGTAGGAACTGTATGTTAGTTACTGATCAGCAGATAAGGAAATGTCACTAGTTGGTCATTGGTGAGTGGTTGCCTAGGAGGCATGAGGTCCTGGTTTCAGGTCCCAGCTCCCAGCACTCGGGGTGTAGAGGCAGCAGTTCAAGCACAGCCTGGTATACAGGAGACCCTGTCTAAAGGCAGAAAGTAACAGTGGCTTTAGGGCTGCTGATTGAAAGAATCCCTTCCTGTGTCAGTGAGTTAGGCTGTTTTCCTCTTCTTCAGTCAGAGTGTTACCACAGCTCTGCGGTATAACTTAAAAATGGGGTGTTGATACATCTAGCACTACTTTATTAGTCAGTATTGCTTTTAGCTATTCTGGGATTTTTGTGTTTCCATATAAACTTGAAGATTGGTTTTTCAATTTCTTTGAAAAATTGTGTTGGAATTTTTATGTGTATTGCATTGAATCTGGGCTGTTTTTGGTAGGATGCTATTTTTGCTGTTAATCCTACCAGTCCATGAACATGGGAGATCTTTTCATCTTCTGATGTCTTCTTCAATTAAGAATGCCAGTTCTTCCTGGTTACTTTCATACAAATTTCCTTATTTAAGGATATAAATAAAGAGCTGAGCGGTAGTGGCGTACAACTTTAATCCCAGCACTTGGGAGGCAGAGACAGGTGGATGTCTGTGAGTTCCAGGCCAGCCTGGTGTACAGAGTGGATTTCAGGACAGGCTCCAAAGCTCCACAGAGAAACCCTGTCTCAAAAACCAAAATAAAACAAAACAAAAAAAGGACACAAATAGAGATGAATTTGGTCCCCAGAGCCCATATGGTGGAAGGGAGAACTAACCCTGTAGGTTATCTTCCAATCTCCACAGATGTGTGCATGCACACACAGGCATACAAAACTAGCTTTTTAAAACGTGTGGTAAGTTTTAAAAGAAAGCTGAACTTTTCCCTGACTTTAGAAGAACAACTCATTCCCTGATGAGAATAACATCGCAAGGCTTCAGGAGGAGCTCATCGCTGTGAAACTGAGAGAAGCTGAAGCCATTGTGGGTTTGAAGGAACTCCGACAGCAAGTCAGAGATCTAGAAGAACACTGGCAAGTACGTCACACTTGTGCTTTTCCAAGAGGAACTAAAACCAAAGTACTTAGTTTGTGTGGATTTGAAATACCTGGTGATCAACAGTAGGTAATGAAAAAAAAAAATCTTGCTTAGTGTCACAATTGAGAACATTTACAATTTGTAAGTACATTTAAGGTTTGCTTTATATAATTCTCAAAGTAAAGCAAAAGATGAAATGGAAACCAGATCATGTTTTTTTTTTTTTTTTTGTTTGTTTGTTTTAAATTTAATTTTTTTAGAGACAAGGTTTCTCTGTAGTTTTGGAGCCTGTCCTGGAATTCACTCACTCTGTAGACCAAGGTAGCCTTGAACTCAAGGAGATCTGCTTGCCTCTGCCTTCCGAGTGCTGGGATTAAAGGTGTGTGCTACCACCACCCATTGAAACCAGATCATATTTTTTTTATTGCTTTGAACTTCTGCAGTGTTCACCTTTTCCTAGTGAGCTGTAAAGACCTATTCCTCTTCTATAGTACAAAACTTTTCATTTTTATTAAATATATTTTTATCCTTTGAGAATGTCATAACTCATACAATGTATTTTGATTATATTGACCCTCATGCCTCCCATAAATCATCCCAGATATACAGTTTACCTTCCCTCCCAACTTTAGATCCTCATTTTTTTCTTTTAAACTCACTACTCTAGTCAGTGCTGCCCATATACTCATGGGTATGGAGTCAACCATTTGAGCATGATTTATTTACCAGAGGCTTAATTCCTGTGTCCAGCTCTTTAGTTATGGGTGGGAGCCCAAAAGCCTGTCCTCTTCTTGCTGGAATGTTGACTGGCTTGATCTTGTTCAGGCAACCACAGCTGCTGAGAGTTTATGAGTCCGAAGGTTACGTCATGTCCAGAAGACACTGTTTTGTCCTGGACTTCCTTCCCCATTGGCTCTTAGAGCCTTTCCATCCCCTCTCCCACAATGGTCCCTGAGCCTTGAGGTGGGGACTGTGTGTGACACAGGCGGCTTGTTTATGACTGAACATTCTATCACTTTGATCAGTTGTCAGTCTGTGCTAGCTGTTGCCACTGCATGAAAACTGACCTATGTTATACAGGTGGATCTTACAGAACAGCTAGGAACTCTGTTCATGTAGCAAACAAAGATGTGCTTTGCTATTAGGTGCATTGCTGGAAAGTGTGAAACAGCTGAAGGGGGACACCAGTGTATATTTGTAATTTCTGACTTCTTTTGAAAATGCTTCTCACAAAATAAATGACCCTTTAGAGATATTCCCGCAAATTTGTCTACTTGTAAGGGAAATTTGATAAAGAACAAAATGTAGCAACACATAAGAAGAGATTGGAGTTTTGAAAACTGCTGTTTCAGAGTGGTGATCTTGGCTTGAACTGAGGATAGGAAGAGACATCTAGTAAAAACTGAAATTAGTCTTTGAGGGGCCTGTGACATCAGTAAATGGAAGGGGACACTTGCTACAAGGCCTCATGACCAAGGCTGAGAATTTGAATTGGGTCCCTTGGACTCACAAGGTGGAAGAGAACAGACTCTGGGAGGTTGTCCTCCAACCTCCATGTGTGCTATGCAGCCCTCCTAACAGCTACAACAAAGAATGAGTTAAGCTGGGCCTGGAGATGTGTATCTGGAATCCTAGCACTTAATGAGGCTGAGTGAGGCAGGATGATCATAAGCCCAAAGCCTGCTAGGAATACAAAGCCAAAGCTTCTCTCAAACAAATAAAATGATCTTGGACAGTGCTTAAATACATGCTCTATAAAAGTTAACTCCTATTTTGTTAAAGTATTTGTTGCAATACAATGTTTTATGCTTTAGCGTCATTTAGCTCGAACTTCTGGAAGATGGAAAGATCCACTCAAGAAAAATACTGTGAATGAGTTACAGGATGAGCTGATGAGCATTCGCCTTAGGGAAGCAGAAACACAGGCAGAAATAAGGGAAATGAAGCAACGGATGATGGAGATGGAGACACAGGTATGATGGGCCAGCCAGATTGGACCGAAAGTAGCACTAGGTCAGAGACTTACACAGCGGTTTTCTCAACATTGAAGAGATGCTATAAAATTACGAAGAGTGAAAATCTACGCTTTAAATGGAAATTGAAATTGCATGCTATTGTGTTTAGGGGTGGTAAGTGAGTCAAAAATTTCATGTGGTGTCATCCTTAGAATTAAGGTGAAAGGTAAAGTCAAGAAAGCAGTTTTCTAGTCCTCATGAAGAAAGCTAAAGTCCCCTGCTCTTACTCTCTTGATGGGGTCTGTCATCGACCCTGCAATGCTAGCAACTTACCATTTTTTACAATTAAGCTAGCTGGCCAGCAAGCTCCAATAATCTTTCTGCCTGTGTCTGCAACACCCCAGCTCTAGGTTCAAATGTGAGCCCACCTTTACATGAGTGCTGATGATCCAACCTCAGGCCTTCATGCTTGTTCACCAGGCACTCTTGCTCATAGCCATTGTCCCAGCCTTATTTTGTTTTAGCTTTGTTTTGTGTTTTTCTCCCCTCCTCTTCTTTTCTTACCCCCCCTTCTCCCCCTTCTCCTTCTCTCCCCTTCCCCTTCTTCCTCCCCTTCCCCTTCTTCCTCCCCTTCCCCCTTCTTCCTCCCCTTCCCCCTTCTTCCTCCCCTTCCCCCTTCTTTTCTTCTTTTTCTTTTTTTCTTCTCAAGGAGTGCAATGTCCCTGGCTGGCTTGTTACTCACTCTGTAGCCTGGATTAGTCTCAAAGTAGTGACAAACCTGTCCCAACCTTCCCAGTGCTGGGATTATAGGCATACACATTTTCCCCCCAGAGGTTTAATCTCTGCTTTGACCATTCAATAACATAAAGCAAGACAGACTCCATTTGGGTTTATTAGTATTGCCTTATTGCACAAATTAAGAAGGGAAATTTATGTAGAGCAATGTTCCTCTACCTGAATAAGTAACATTTGGGCTAGAAGTTCTTTGTTTTATGTAGCTAGTCTGTGCATCATAAGGTGCTTAGTAGCACCTGTCCTCCACCCCTCAGATGCTCTTCTCTGTCTTTATACATTTCTGTAAAACTGTCCCCATACGTTTCCAGTGGAGCATCACAAGTATCAACTGTAATGTGCATTTTCCCTTTCAAGTTGTGTAGTGTAACTCTGAATAATAAGTTTAAAATGTAAGTCTGGAATAATCTCCTGGGGTCCCTTCTCTGTGTTACATCCAGTCTTAAATGTATGTGCACTAAGATGTGCAGATTGTTTTACTGACAAAATTTGTTTGCATTGTAAAGGTAAATTTGGCTTTTATGAATTACGTTTGTGTGAGTTGTAGTTCACATAAAGTTGTCCTGTAGGATCCATGGTTCAGACTTTAGACTCTTCAGATGCCCAAGTTCCTTAAATAAAATGGTTTATTATTATTTGTGTGTGTAGCCTACATTGTCTAGTATACTTCAAACCATCCCTAGATACAATGCATAACATAGCAAGGAAGCAATAGAAATAATTGTTACACTTGGTTATTTAGGGAATAATTACAAGAGAAGTCTGCACATGTACAGTACAGATACAATCAAAGAAATTTCATTTCTTAGCAGTTTGAATTCATGGATATATAGGGAAGGACAACAGTGCATATTACTGATTTTCAGAGTATTTTATTCAGTCTGTAGGGGGCATAGTTTACTCATGTCTCATTCTGAATTCTAGTGAACAAATATGGTGATTCCATGGTATGCTAATTCCAGGTATGCTAATATGAATATGCATTGTTTTTAGGATAAACATATCTGGTCTCATATCATCCAGTTACTTTCTAAAAAAGTTTTATTGAAATTCAATAAAGTTTTATTGAAAGTAAATTTAAAAATATGGGAGATGCTAAAATTTTGAGAAGCAGAAATAAGATTTTATAGTATAAAGGTTGCTTTATTTATTTATTTATTTATTTATTTATTTGGTTTTCTGAGATAGTTATACTAAGTGTAGCCTTGGCTGTCCTGGAACTCGCTCTGTAGAACAGGCTGGCCTCTAACTCATAGAGATCCACCTGCCTCTGCCTCCCAAATTCTGGGATTAAAGACATGCTCCACTACCACCCTGCGGGAAGTTTTACTTTTATGAACAAAATTTATACACATATACATGTATATTTGTATATATACCTGAGGGGTGGTGAGTCAAGTTCCAGAAGAGGTTGGGAGGACCTTTGAAATCTGAAGCCATGTGCAGCCATTAAAGAATGGATAGCTAATCAGTCAGGCATCACACATGTATTAAATATGACTCAGAAACTGAATCTAAGTTTAGAGTGAGAGAGAAGTTGCTACCCCACACAAGAGAGGGCATTTACCTATAGCTAAGTAATTTGGGGAATGGCTTGCTAGAGGATTTATGTTTCAAAGTGTGCTGGACTAGTAGCTGTGACTTGTGCTAGATTTTCCTATGAGTCACTGGATTGTGAATGCTAGACCTTGAACTAGTAGTAATCATGAAGTTTTATGTAAAACAATTTTGGAAAAGTCAAAAAAATAAAGCTGTGGTACAATGGTAGTGGCATATAATTGGCTGCAATATTCTCTTGAGTACACATGTGGTCACTGTCCAGAGATTTGTTCATGTTGGTGCGTGTAATTTCAATTCCTCCATTGAATACACTCTCCGAACTTTGACTGTGGAGTATACTCCAGTTTACTGACAGCTGTCCTCTTGTTACATGTACATTTTATGTCACAAATAGTTCTGTTCTGAACATTCATGGGTATGTTTGTGTTTTATCCAAGACTTTATTGAGTGTGGTCTTCTCTCTTCCTCTGTGCTGTGGACACTGTTGCAGTCTGGATCACATTTGGAACTCTTGTCAGAATAGTGATTTTTGAATGAGTAGAACAAAATACATGACTGTAAAAGCAAAGCAGTTACACTGAGGTAGAATTTTCAAAGCACTAAAAGAGCTATGTGACATAGAGCATATGCACAGAAACACTCAAAATGCATTCCTGTTTTTGGAAAAAGTTTGGGGTACTTATAATTTAAACTACACTATAATTGCCTTACTTTTTGTCTTTCTACTTTACTTGTGCACACATTTCTGATAAACATAGGTACATTGAGTTTGACAAGTGGCTTATTTATTTATTCATTTATTTATTTTAATTTTTTATTTTTTGGTTTTCTCTGTGGTTTTGGAGCCTGTCCTGGAACTAGCTCTTGTAGACCAGGCTGTGACTAAAGGCGTGCGTCACCACCACCTGGCTAATTTTGTTTGTTCGTTTGTTTTTTAAATGCAGAATATGCTAAAAACAACTACATTCAATGTATACTTGAGGTGGTTTTAGAAATGAGCTTTATCTTAATAAAACTACAAAAATATGACTTCACAGTTTCTTATAATTACCCTGCTAAGTCTATATTGTGTGGTTCTGTTTTATTTAATTCCTGTCTGTTGAGTCTTTTATTTCTTACTTTTCTTTATGTCTTGGATTTATTTGGTTTGACTTTATCTTCACAGGTGACTTGTTTATTGTCTCTTTAAGCAGATCCTTAGTGGTTGCTTTGTGTTTTACAATAAGCATCTTTAATTAGCGTTGCCTTCAAAAAATAAATGTTGAGTTAGAGGCAACAGATTGTCTGCTTTGAATTCATACATATTAACTCTGGCATTGTTCTCTGACCTTCCTCACCTTTAAACAATTATTGTCATATCTATTATGTGAATAATTTTGTCTTAATTGGTTGCTTGCCCTAGTGAAATGCACTTTTTTTTTTTTTTTTTTTTTTTGGCCTTTTGAGACAGGGTCTCTTATGCATCCCTGGCTATCCTGGAACTTGATACTTGATATGGAGAACAGGCTGGCATTTAGCTCACAGACATCCTCCTGCCTCCCAGTTACTGAGATTCAGGGTTGGTATTGTCACACCTGGTTTTGAAGACTTTTTGTGCACCTCTGCACAAAATGATTTTCTTTGTCTTTTGTTATTTAAGGAAGAATTTATTTCTCCAAGTTTCAAGGTTTTCTTTAATCGTCTATATGTGTATGGGTATGTGCATGTGAGCACAGGTACTCTTGGAGGCCAGAGGCATGGGATCCCTTGGAGCTGTAGTTACAGGTGACTGTGAGCCACCCGGTGTGGGTCCACTGGAATAGTGACATGCACTCTGAACCTCTGAGCCACCTTGTTGACATCTACTTCTCCAATTTTAAAATTCAGACACGCTTTCCATTTGCAGGTGTTTTTCTGGGTTCTCCTTTTCCTGATTGCATTGGTGATATGGCTGTGCACACACCTCACTTTCCCTTACCTCTCATAACTATGCTGAGTTCCCTGTGAGATAATTCAATTTCTGTGTCCGATGCAAGACTGCTTCTGTGTATTGTTTTGTCTCTTGTTACATTTCTTATTTTTTCCTTGCATTTTTAAATGCTTTGCAAGTTTTTGCATCAATTTTCATTATCTGCCCCAACAAATAGACACCAAAAAAGACTGGCTGTCTTGAAAAAGATAGTCATTGCACAGGGCAGGGGATAGCAGCAATTAAGTATCTTGTATAGGGCAGTAACTAAGGTAAGTAGATTTGATGCCTAGAAATGGGTCCACATTTCCTCCTGGCGGGCCTTTCATGTGGCAGAGTTGAGTTAATACAGTCAGATGTGCTGAGCTGAGGTTTGCTCTGTGGTTGTGTACAGTGCACCACAGGGTTCAGATCCCTTTGGCAATACCTCATTTTCAGAATGAGGGCTGTGTAGCACAAATAATAAAAACCCAGAGACAAATATTGAGGTTCAAATTGAAGATCAGAAAAGCAAAGCAGCCAACCACTAGTTCTTACCTCTACCTTAGATGGAAAGGGCGATCCTGTCTCCACAAATCCTCATTGTGACTGGAGACTGAATGCCTCATGAGACCCTGCTCCTGTCTTATATACCTCTCTAGCACTGGGGTTAAAGACATACACTAATACTGCCCAGTTTCTATGGCTAACTAGTGTGGCTGCTGGGATTAAAGGTGTGTACCACCACTGCCTGGCTTCGCATTCTGATTTTCAGGCAAGTTTTATTAGATCATAAACAGAACATCACCACATGTCTGGTTTCCCAGAGGACTTTTCTCAGAAACTCCATGCCTGCACTCTGCATTACACCCCGGAATTGGGACTATTTCCAGCAGTATTCTATGTTACTTGTTGCTGGGAGTTGGAGGGGCAAGGTTATTTCTCATTTTCTGGTATAGCCTTCATTTCTTTTGTAGCAGAGGTGTTTGGCCTTGTAATGCTTCTGCCTACCAATGGTTGTAGTCCTCAGTCCAGAACATATTACCTCCTCTTCTTCCAAAGACAGTAGTATGCTAGTCCTGTGCCAGATAAAGCTTCCTTTCCTCGGAAGAGATAGGTAAAGTCAGTACTTTTTCCTCTATCAGCTGCTTCCCCTTACCTCCAGCCCATATATTTCTAAGACTCTGACCAACCTTTGTTGTGTATACCCCGAGTAGCCAGGATTACAGCCTTACACAGCCAGGCCTTACTCATGCAGTCATTTGATTGTAATTGGCCCCAAATAAGCTCATAGGGAGTGGCACAATTAAGAGGTATGGCTTTGTTGGAATGGGTGTGGCCTTGTTCTAGGAAGCGTGTCACTGTGGAGGTGGACTTTGAAGTCTTGTATATGCTCAAGCCATGCCCAGTGTCTCGGAGACCACTTCCTGTTGTGAGTCAAGATGTAGAACTCTCAGCTCCTTCTCCAGCACCATGTCTGCCTGCACTGCCTTGCTTTCCACTATGGTAATAACGTAATAAACCTCTGAACTATAAGTGAGCTCCAATTAAATGTTTTCTTTTATAAAAGTTGTCATAATCATGGTGTCTCTTCACAGAAATAGAAACCCTAATTGAGCTAATTGAGACTCATATTTTTTTTTGTTGGGGGAAGGGTAAAATTTTCTCAAATATTAACATATCTTACCACAGTTTTTAAAAAAAACATTTTGTTCTGAAATTTTGGATCATCTTTTTTTTTATTTACTGTGTCTTATGAACTCTTCCAGTATGCCTAATGTTGTATTTCATACTGTGTGTGTGTGTGTGTGTGTGTGTGTGTGTGAGACATGTTTGTACGTATTTGGGCATGCATGTGGGGGCTGGTGGTTGACTTTGGGTGACTTCTCTGTGTGTGTGTGAGTGAGAGAGAGGGGGGTACATGTTTATATATGTTTGGATGTGAATATGGAGGCTGGTGGTTGACTTTGAGTGTCTATATTATACTCCATGTTGGTGTAGGTCTGACTTTAGACCTAGGGCTCACCTGTTGGCTAGACCAGATGCCAACAAGCTCTAGAAGTTAGCTAATCTCTGTCCTCCCTTGCCATTAGCTCCCCAGTATTGGGGTTACATATATGTGCCACCATGCCCTGTCTTTACTTGGATACTAGAGATGTAAGCTCAAGTCTTCGTGGTCATACATGACAAGCATTTAACCTACTAAGCCATCTATCCAGTCCCTCATTGAATTATTAATTTCAGCAGTTATATTGATCTTTAGAAATTTTATTGGATTAGTTCTTAAAATTTGCAAAATTTAGTCAAGCATAATGACACATAGCTATAATTACAACACTCAGCAGGGAAAAGTGGGAAGGTTGTGAGTTTTCAGACTAACCCAGGCTACTAGCAAGGCACTAGCTCAAAAAATGGTAACAGGTATTTTGACCAAATTCACTCGTCCTCCTCTCCCTACTCTCGTTTTAAAATAGTTCTGTGTACTGCAGGCTCCTCCTCCTGACTGAGCCTATCAAGTGCTAAGATGATGGGTGTGCCCCGTTGTGGCACTTCTGGATGTTTCTCCTACTAATTTCTTTTTGCCTAATGCTGCTGCTGCTGCTGTTGCTTCTTTTTCTTCTCCTCCTCCTTCTCCTTCTTCCTTCTTCTTTTTTTTCCCTAAAAGACAGGTTTTCCCTAAAAGACAGGTTTTCTCTGTGTAACTCTGTAGACTAGACTGGCCTCAAACTCACAGAGATCCACCTGCCTCTACTACCCAAGTGTTGGGATTAAATTCATGTGCCACAATGCCCAGCACTTTTTAATAATTTTAAGCATTTATTTTATGTAAAGTCCTCATATAATTTCCTTATGAGGAATTCTTAAACTATACTCTTGTCTTTTTTTGGGGGGGGGTCACTGTTTTTAATCCACAGTTAAGTCTTGAAATGTGGTTTTATATTTAGTTTTGGGAAGCATTTTCATCTTGAGATTCTTTGCAGCTATATTGAAGGAATATCCATTTGAGGCATAGTTATTTGTTTCAGTTGTAGCACGTAAGGCAAAGGTTGAGGGACATTTTGAACTCAGTACTATAAAGTCCATTTAATTTGTAGTCAGAATTCATTAAGTGAACCGAGAAAGAATAGACTCATAGGTAATGGTAGGTGATAGTCTTGATAAATATTCTTCTGAGTGTGATCAGAAGATACGAAAAAGTGAAGAAATTTGGTAGTGGAAGAAAGTTTTGGAGCATATATGTGGAATTAACCACTTTATTCCCCATTAAAACTGGAGGCAGTGCCATTTTTCACAGAAAGAGATAGAGTGAATCAGATGATAGTGGCAACTGAGCATTTATTGTGCCTGTAGACATCTTTCTGCCATATGACTTCCTTGTATAATCTAATCTTTCTAACACAGCCAGGAGGCCAGCAATCATGTCTACCTATTTTCCAGTATGCTGAAATAAGATAGGATTAAATAACTTGCCCAAGATTGGAGAACACACGTTCTCAGAGATCTTGCCACATATATGCTGTTCATGTATCATCTCATTTGGTCCTGGAGACATCCAAGTAAAAAACAGTAAAGATTTTCATATGGGCAAGAAAACTAGAGACTTGGAGATGTTGCTTTCTTAATCATCAAGGGGCAAAGCCAGACTTGAAAGCAGTCTGTGGCCAAGCAAAGACCCTGAAGCAGGAGCACTAGCATGAGTTATGCAGTGAGACCCTATCTCAGAAAATAAAGCAGGGATCCCACTCTGCATTCTTGGGAAGAAGCCATACTAGGCTCTGGGGATATAGGACACAGTGGATGGTGTGTTCAGGTTTGTGTCATCTCCTCAACGTGTATCCCAGTGTTTCAGAAATACCTGCCTTGGTCATGTGTGAAGGTCTTCATAGCTTATATATTATTTTGCATAAATGGTGTATTTAGGTTTAAATTTTTGTTTCTTTAAGTATTTCTAGTGTTTTGAAGCAGGGTCTCATGAGTGTAGGCTAACCTCATGTTCTGTATTACAGAGACAAAGCTAGCCTAGAACTCTAGGTCCTCCTGCCTCCACCTTCCAAATACTGGGATTACAGATGTGTGCCACCATGTCTGACTGTTATGCTGATTAAGAATTTAATATTCTTTTAGAGAATTCAGTTTTTTTGTTTTAAATGTTTATATTTGAGACATTGTCTTGCTGTGTGTAGTGTGGGCTGTCCTGAGGTTCACAGTGTAGCCCAGGCTGTCCTTGAACTCTTACTGATCCTCCTTCCTCAACCTCCCTAGTACTGGAATTATATGTGCTGCATGCTAGACTGAGGATTTGTTTTTATATATTTTTTACATTTTTAATAAACATTTTAAATAATATTTTATAAGGCTGTTAAAGTGTAAGATTTACAGATAAAAATTTATTGAAAATGTTCAGTCTTTTATCTATAGTGAGTCTATTTGTATTTCCCATTAGAACCAGATCAATAGTAACCAACTTCGGAGAGCAGAACAAGAGGTGACCAGTCTGCAGGAGAAGGTACATTCTCTTTCTGTGAAGAACAAAGGATTGCTTACCCAGTTAAGTGAGGCAAAGCGCAGGCAGGCAGAGATTGAATGCAAGGTAAGTGTAATGATGCCTTTCATAGATTTATCATGATTTTGTCTTTTTGAGACAGGCCTTTAATGTATGACCTTGACTATCCTGGAGCTTGCTGTGTAGACTAAACTGACCTCAAAATCTCATTGATTCTATTCTGTTTGCCTCTCATTGCTGGGATCACAGGCTGTACCACATGTAGCTTAAATTTTCAGACAAGGTTAGGTTATCTTGTTCAGAAGGTGAATTGCAGGAAAGACACTTCATTTTTCACCTTAGACTTGATTAAGTTTGTGTCTTATTGTGGTGTTGACTAGTGTGGTTTTCTGATGTTTCTTTGTGATGATCCACCTGGAAATGCAGGTGATTGGAGAGGTTGAAGCAGTTAGTGCTAATATGCTTTCTAGGTGACAGAGAGATAAAGAGGAATGTGTATGTATAGGTAGATTAAGAAAAATGAGTACAATTTCCATTCTTTTAATCATTTGTGTTACATGAAGCTTTTTGTTCAAAGATCACTACAAGTATTTGAAATAAATTGAATTTTTTTTCATGAAAGGAACATGTAATAGCTTTAGCTAATAAGAGGGACAGATGGTGGGCATCAGGTAGAAGACAGGACTACATAAATATGTGTGAGAATAACTAAAGAGATGTGTGTAGTCCGAGTCTTAGAATAGATCACTGGTGGGAAGCTGGGGTGCTGTAAGAGCAGAGTTGCTTTAGTAGTTGCCATGCCCTTCATGTATGCAAGCCTTATTGGTTCTCTGAGAGCACATATAAAGCTGTAATTCCATCAGCTTCCTCTGGTGTCATTACAAACCAAGAGTGAAGCTTGAGTGGTTTATCAGTATCACTAAAATCCAGAGATGAAATTACATCCTAATAAATATTCATGTCTATTAGAATTTAGACTGAAGAAATCTGTAGGCAGTACTGACAATTGTATTAACTCAAGAATTGACCCTTTTAAAAGGTAGAACTGGACTAATTTAAAAACAAAGGGGTACACGATGAGGTTATACCCATATGATTTGCCATACTGTTGTCCTTGTCATCCTTGTGATTTGCTTGTAGTAGAGAACTAAATGTAATCTTTCTCATACGAATGTCAGTTTTCTTTAAACATTTTGATAGCAGTATTTCTGAATTTAATAGTCTTAGCACCTGTTAACAAAATAAAATGTTCTTTTGAAGTGTCTGTTTAACTTGGCCATGAAGATGCTTGTTTTGAATTTTTCTAAGTAATGAATAAAGACTCATACAGTAGAGGACTCGGCAGACTGATATGAGATTTCCACTTAGGTTTTATTTGTTCATTAGTACCTTGTAAAATGTTCCGAGGATACTAACTCTGATGCCCCCTTATGTGTGAGCTCTAAATTGCTTCAGCCCTCTTGGCCACTTTTTGTAGATCCTGGTAGTTAATATTAGTGTACTAATTGTTATTCTAGCACCTAGTAGTTGTCACATATCTCTGTTAGAGTGCAATAATTCAGTAATAACTGTAACTTTTTCAAAGAAGCCGGTCCTTTATATACATAAATTAGATTTGTTTTCTCTAAGTTTTATATGATTAAAGCTTAGGATTTGTTGATGAGTAACCAATAAAGTTCATTTTATTTTTCATTTTTATAAAGTGTCTGAATATTATCTGTATTAACATTATTTTTACTCTATAAATGAGTTTGAATGTTTTCACTTAAAATATTACAAGCCCATAATTCCCAGTTTCATCCAAACACTCTGAATCCCAAAGATTTTTTTTTTTTCATAAATTTCACACAGGTTCATTTGGAGGCAACACCTGATTTGAACTGATAGAAGACCATGTGTAAATTGTTTTTTGTCCTTTTGGGTATGGATGTTTATAGCTGACTGCTTCCTTATAGGTGCTGTCTCAGACACAGCTGAGTAATATTAGTGCAGTTTATGCACCTTAATATTTCATACAATCTGAAAAATCTCAGTTCCAAACTCTGCCGGTTTATCACTATGTTTTATTGGTGCTGTAGAACAAGGAGGAAGTCATGGCTGTGAGACTCCGGGAAGCTGATAGCATAGCCGCTGTGGCTGAACTGCAGCAGCACATTGCTGAGCTTGAAATCCAGGTATGGTGTGGTTCCCTCCCTGTGTACCAGACCTGCTTGCTGTGTGTTGGTATCTGCCTCCTGGTGACTGTGGAGGACAGGGGTTGATGTTGAATGTCTTGCTAGCGAGCCTGCTCCAGGGACACCTTGTCTCCTGCCTCTCTGCCTGCCTGCCACGCTCAGCTGACACTTAACATGGGTGCTGAGGACTTGAACTTGGGACTTCTCACTTGGGTGGTAAATGTTCTACCTACGGAGAAATCTCAGCCCTCAGGTGTGTTTTTATTTATACATAGCATAAAAATGTTTAATAGTTACAACTCTATGATATTAGAGTACTTATGCTGTTGTATGGCCACCAGCACCATACGCTTCCAGACATATTCATGGCACTCACCATTTAGCATCTTACCTCTGTGAATTTGACCCCTCCAGGTACATTCTATTGGGAACCGTGAAACATACGTCCTTTTTGTGACAGGCTGATTTCACTTAGCATGAAGTTTTTAAGGTTCATTCATGTAGTATATGTTGTAATTTCTTTCCCTTTTAAAGTTACCATGTGTCCTTCATTGCATGTGTGTAGGCTATTATTATCCACTCATCATTTAGCTGCCTGGGCTGTTGTGAACAATGCTTCTGTGATCGGAGATGTGTAAATAACTACAAGAATCCCTATGCATCATGTAGAAATACTGCGTCGAACAATAATTCTGGGTAACTTTTTGTGGAAGTACAATGTTATTTCCTGTAAAATGTACCATTTTATATTCCTTCCTTCAGAGCACAAGAATTCTACTTTTTCCATACCTTCACCACTACTAACTGATTTTCAGGAGCTTGGAAGCTTGTTTTAGGTGCTATCACCTCCTTCTTCTGATTGGTGGTTTCCCAGTGGGTAGTAGTACTAGGCATCCCTTTACCTGATACTTAGCATTTATGTATTATCTTTAGAGAAAAGTCCATTCAGGCTTTGTCCACCTTTGAATCTGTTTATTTTCTCAGTGATGAAATGTACAAGGTACTTGTGTGTTCTCAGTAGCAATCCCATGTCAAATGATGTGGTTTATAAATATTTTCTCCTGTGGGTTCTTTCTAAGATTTATTTTTTATTTTATGTATATGGGTATGTGACCTACCTTATATGCACGATGTGTATGTAATGCACACAGAAGCCACAAGAGGGTGTCAGATCGCTACAGGTGGTTGCTAGCCACCACATAGGTTCTGGAAACAGAACTTGGGTCCCTCTGCCAGAGCAACCCTTGCTCCTAACTGCTGAGTTGTCTTTCTGTTACCAAGGTGTAACAGGTCTTTTTGTGCTCCCAAATAATGACATGGAGACTTTTTTATTAATTATGAAAGCTTGGCCTTAGCTAAGGCTTGTTAACTAGCTCTTACAAATTTAATTAACCTATTTATATTAATCTGCAGTTTGTCATGTGGCTTATTACCTCTCCTCAGTAACATACACCCAACTGCTTTTGCATCTGACTGGCAAGTCTCCTGTTGCAGATTCTTTCTCAGAGTGCCTCTCTCTCCAGAAAGCTCACCTATCCTTTCCTGCCTAGCTATTGGCTGTTCAGTTCTTTATTAAACCAATCAGAAGGTGCCTTAGGCAGGTGAGGTAAACAGACTATCTTCACATAGTGTACAAAAAGATTATCTCAGCACCAAAGATAACCCTTTTTCTTTGTTGATAATGTTTTTTGTTGTATAAAAGCTTATTTTTCTGAAGTCCAAAGTCTTAGCACAGAACTTGGTTTTTGCTTTTGTTAACAGTATAATAAGTTCACTTTGAGTAGCACTTCATCATATTTCTGCACTTGTGCTTGTACTTTAAAAACAAAATTTAGATTTTTAAAAGTGAATGTGTGTCAGACATGGTGGCAAATAGTACTCCAATCTCTTGAGGAGGCTAAAGCAGGAGATTGTAGTCAGGCTTTGGCACTATGTATTCTTAAACTTTTCTCTAACTTGCTGTGCCAAATCCTTGGTAATCATTGTACTGTTACTTTGCTATAAGGTTGGATTTCTTAGATTTTAGTATAAGTGAGCACATTGGTTTCTCCATGTCACAAATGACAAGATTTCTTTTTGTTATTTGTTTTTGGTTTTCTAGGCAGCATGTTACTGTGTTGCTTAGACTAGCCTAGAAGTTTATATGGCTCAGGCTGTCCTGTAACCCATGATCCTCTTGCTTCTGATTTCTGAGTACTAGGATTGCAGACTTCAATCACAGCTAGCACAACTCCCATCCTTTTAAAGGCTAAGTAGCATTCCATTGTATACATTGACATCTTTATCCACTCATCTACGTCTGATTTCGACGAAATTAGATGTTTTCCTATTCTATTCTACCCCAAAGCTTTTGTGTGGGTAGAGCTTTCCTTTGCCAGCAGGTGCTCCCAAATCATCAATTAGAAACTTAATATTGATTGTGAACACTCAGCCAGTAACTCAGGCTTGATACTAGCTAGCTCTTACATTTTAAATTAACCATGTTTGTTATCTGTGCTCTGCCACATGGCTCATGGCTTATTACTTCTACACATCCTGCTTCCTCTGTGCCTGTTGGTGTCTCCTCTGACTCCTCCCTTCTTCATCTCAGCATCCTTAATTTGGTTGTCCCATCTATACTTCCTGCCTTGCAACCTGCCAGTCAGTTCTTTATTAACCAATGAGAGTAATATATATTCACAGTTTATGGAGGATTATTCCACAGCACTTCTGTTTCTTTGTATCTTGAGTCTTGATGACTAGACCATTTGTTAGCACATTTTCAGCCTGGAATAACTTCAGGTGTTTCTTTCTTACCATCTATAATGCTTGCCAAACATGCATGTGTAAAGGTGTTCAAGTAACATTGTTTTACACCCTAAGTTACTTCCCTGCCACTGTCTTTACCTGCTGGGTGGACTAGTGCTACAGAAAGCAGAACAAACAAACCTCCTTTTGGCCCTTTTCTAGCATTTCTTTTTCCCCCTACCCATCCTTAGTTCATCTACTGACTGTCTTGTCTGAAGTAGTCAGAATTCTCCCAGCCAGTCTTTTTCCATCCTCCACTGTAGATAACTCTCTAGCAGTTACCAGCACAGCCTTTCTAAAATCTTTTTTTTTTTTTTTTTTTTTTTTTTTTTTTTTGGCGGTGTTTAACTGCCAATCATATCAGAACTCTTTGGCATGAGATCCTTGTCATTTTACTATTCCTCAAACTCAGTTTCCACCTTTATCTCTCACCTATATGCCAAAGTGCTGTTCTGGGGCTTTTGAGTTCTTCCCGGTTGCTGTGCCCTGCTGTATACTGTTGTCTTCCAGGACTGAGGCCTGTGTGCCCTTGATCTGATTTGCTGTTAATTCACTCAGGAAGAATATTTTGAGTAAATTGTTTATTTAATGTAGATTAAGATCCACAGATACTAATTTAATGTATTTATTTATTTACTGTAGATTAAGATTCACAGATAGGCGGCAATTCTAGCACTTTCTAGAGAGTCATGAAGATTAAAAGTTCAAGGCCAGCATGAGCTGCTATATAGAGATATATCTTAAAGGGGTAAAAACCTCCTAAAAAAGATTATTTTTATTTACATATGAAACTCCTTTTTCAGTTATATAATATATTTTAGAACATTCACAGTTGTGGAAATATGTCAAATCAGTTTTAAGTTCCATTGTGGGGGGACTAAGACTCTCTATTTTGTATTTTTCCATCAATTAATGTTTCCAGTTGATGTTATGTAGTCTTGGCTAACCTGAAACTCACAGAGATCTCTTGCCTCTGGTTCTAGAGTGCTGGGATTAAAGGTGTGTATCACCAGGGTTGGCATTTGTTAATTTCTCACAAACTAAATTCTCTCAAATTCTCCATGTAATAAACCTTATTATTATATAACATGCAGTTAAGTTTTGGATTATATAATACATAATCAGTTATTCTTATAATTAAAACCTGCTTTTTAATATAATTATTAAAACTATAATTTTTGTAAACATAGGTAGAGGAAATAGAGGAAGAAATACTTATGTTAATAAATTCTCTGACATTTTATAAAGAGTTTAAAATATATACATATGTGTGTGTATACGCACACACACATACCTATGAGGCTAACATTTATTGAATTTATTTTCAAAGATTCTTAGCCACTGTGGAGCCCTTGAGCCCACCTGAATCTTATTATTTGACATCATGGCATATATAATTGTTTATAATACTGCTCCTACTTTTGAAGGAGCTGTTTTGGTTTAGTTGAATTTGAACTTTCCTGGAACTGTTTTATTGTTGATTGTTTTTCTTTTTTTCTTTCTTTTTCTGCTTTTTTTGAGACAGGGTTTCTCTGTATTGCTTTGGAGCCTGTCCTGGAACTAGCTCTGTAGACCAGGCTGGCCTCTAATTCAGAGATTGGTCTGGCTCTGCCTACCAAGTGCTGGGATTAAAGGCATGTGCTGCCAACTCCCTCCCACCCACCCCCCAGCTCATGGAACTGTTTTTAAAATGTATTACTACCTACATTTCTGAATGATGATTGTTTATTGGTAGCCTAGTCACTATTCTGCCACAGTGTTAATTTGAGAGCAATATATTTTCTGTCTATAAAAATCAAATGTTAAGCTGGGCGTTGGTTGTGCATGACTTTAATCCCAGGATTTGGAAGGCAGAGATAGGAAGAGGATCTCTGTGAGTTCAAGGCCAGCCTGGTCTACAGAACAAGTTCTAGGACAGGCTCCAAAGCCTGTCTGGAAACCCTCCCCTCCCCCCAAAAAAATCCGATGTTGAATTCTAAAATGGCATCTGGTTTAAGAAATCAGTGTATCATGTATGTCATTTTAATCTTTGGGCAGTCATTATGTAGTTATGTCACTTCATTCAAGTCTCTTGTTACTTCCTCAGATAAAGCTCTTTTATGTATTTGGTTTTTTAGTGCTAAGGGTTCACCCCAGGGCCATGTGCATTCTATACAGTCAGTCTGTCATGAAGTTACAGTGGTCTAAGCTCTGAGTTTTCCATTATGCCCCTC